ACCTGAATTCACAGCAAACACTTTTTATTGTCAGAATCGTGACGCAAGTGGCAGAAAATGTAACCGTATTGAAAGAGAAAAAGGGGAGAAAACCAAAAATGAGAATATTGTTTAAGCCTTCAATTTCTTCATGTCGGAGGATTTAACACTTGCAAGAACGACTGCTTGACATATACATTTTCAGTGATACTTTTGAGATCTGAGACCCCAGATTTGCCGATCTATTGAATTATCGATTCGAAAATGTTCATGATTATCCCAGAATATAAAAAAAAACATATAAAAGAATTACAACAAACTTAACAACGGGTACAGAATTTTGCAATTTGTGTCATATATACAAAGGCGATAAAAAAAATAGCAACTGAGCTCTAAGTGATAAGTGCATTATTTATATTACATAGAAAAGCATACGATAGAGGAACACGTTTAGATTACTGGCGGTTGTTGCAAAACCTTTACGGTTTTTGTGACAGACTCGGGAACGCGACTAAATTCAAGGGCACTGCGAATTTGTTTATTAATTATAAAGATAAGTCCCACTGCACCCACATCAGGCAGGCTATAGATGTGAACTGAACCTGCCAAGAGCCAATTTAGGATGAAACTTTTTTTTCCAACTTGTACATTGAATTTAAAAAAAGTTATCCTGAGCAATGAAAGTGCAAAGTCTTTTGTGATCAAAGCCCAAATAAAGATTAGAAATTAGAGTTTTTATCACGAAAACGGAGATTCAAACTTGACTCAGGATTTTTTTTCTGAAAGATATAACAGTATCAGTCTTTAACTGAAGGTGTCTCCTTTTTACTAGAGGTACTGTTTTTCCTTGTCGGATTATTACCAGGACGGTTAACAAAGAACGGATCTTTGGTAAACACACCACCCTTCATTACGTCCTCCCCTTGGCTGCCATGAATCCTGTCTCGTCGTTTGTTCTGTATCTCGATGCACTCTCCTGCAGTCAGGAGCCGTGTGTTCAACTGCGACAGCGTCTTTCTCCTCTGCAAGATCTGCTTCTGAGACGCCACCATCACCTCCATGGATTTGGCGTGGGACACCCTGGGCCCCGCGGTGGATTTGAGCGGCAGCAGGGAGCGCCCAGCGATTGGGCCGGTGGAGCTGCCGTCCTCCGACGCGGAGTACCGCCGGCCGGTAGCGTCAGCGTGGACGCTGGGATCGTAAGCCTTGGTGTCCATGGCGAAGCCCTCCGAGATCTCCACGCTCTTGCGAATGGAGGTGGACGAGATAGGGTGGGCCACAGAATGCCTCCGGGTCAGTAAGCCCGTTTTAGGGGCCGGGGAAGACGAACGGCTGGACGAGGAGCCAGACGGGTCATGGTTGATTCCCTTGGGGTGCAGATGGCTCAGAGAGGGAACCGTGTAGGACACACCGTTGCTTCCATTTGAAGGCAGAGGCAGAGATGATGAGAGATGTTTCTGCTGATCAACGTTATTGTTCACTTCTAGAATGGGGCTTCTGGAATGCCTCCGGATAGGCACGCTTAGCTGACTTTCGAAGGATGTTGATCGGGACAGTCTCCGCCCGCCGCTGTCACTCTTCATGTTGAATTCCAATGTTATGGTGTGAGACTTAGGTTTTTCTTTAGTCTGCGGTGGACGAGGAGCACTTGCATCGTGCGAAGTCTCTGACGTCCGTCTCGACTGCTTCCATGTTGGCTGGTCCTCCGGGATGGGCGATGAGGACGGGAGCATCAGGCGCGGTAAGCGATGATCGCCACCGTTTAGGCTCCCCTTCCGTGGTGAGGTCGGCTCGCTGACAGCCCCATGTTTACCTGAGTCACCATTGACTGGCAAAGCACTATCACTCACAGACCTCTGCCTGTTTTTTCGGTGATTGCTGGGTGGCTCGGCTACCGTATTCGGTCTGGTCGGTTGCTTGTTGGACCCATCGTCGGGAACCAGGGCAAGGCTGTCTTTACTGGGTGCAGTGACGGCACGTACCAAACTCTTCCCCGTGCCCGCGACGAAACCGTCGTCCAAAGACGCACCGGGTCCACCGTCAGAGTTGACGGCACGGATACTGTACAGGAACCGCTTGAGCTCTGCGTACTCTCGGTTATGAAGCAACATGCTGTCTGCGTGGCACTTGTCCAAGCGCAGATTTTGCTTATCAAGGCTCTGCTGTGTCTGTTTGAAAGCGTTAGAGTTGACTAGGTCCACTTCAGCAAGAGTAATGCTCCGCCGTTTGTTCACAATCTTTGTTGCTGCACTCATGATCAACGATTACCGTGTACTAATGTCAGTTGCTAAAGTGCATTATTTGGATGTATTCCAAAAGAAATTGATTTGGAAAGACTTCAAATAGTATCAAACGGTACAATATACTTCTAGATGATCGACATTAAGATGTTCGACCGGGTAAACATTATCGACATCAAGTCCCGCTTTTCACCATTCTCTTGACGTAAGGGCTCCAAGAGTAAACACCAGCAGTTTTCACTGTTACATTCCGCTAGAGGATACAGTTCTGGTCCACGGCTTTGAAGATGTCTTGCGGAGACATCACAGCTAGTTTACTTGAGGTCGCTCATGTGCTTAGGTCAAAATCACTAGTCCAAACACTTTAATTAACGACTGTTCCGTCTGTTGCCATGACAAGTTTCAAAGGCGCTTCGTTGTTGGAGTTCGGTCTTTTGCTGTGCTGCATTGCTGAGAAGTAAGAAGTCATTTGGTCTGTCCAACTTCAGCCACTTCCATATCTGCAGATGTCTTCCAGTGATATGAGCATCGGCAAGATATGATTTAATCCACGGCCCTCAGATGAGGATCATCTCCTTAAACAACTTCACCAGCAAACAGATCTTGTCTCTTAGCATGGTGGCAGAGACAAAGACTCTAGATCCTTTGAAGAGATGCGCAAATTGGGACGAGTGTTTGACCCACAGGGATTTGCGGACGATCTTTTCCAAGAGTAGGACCACAATGGGCCACCACCGGCAGGTACACAACAGGTAGAGCCTCCCCGATAAAAGGCACCGTTCCGAACCTTTGTCAATCCTCATTGGGGCGAGAGGTTACCAAGAAGATGATGCTCTGGGCATGAATGGCAGATAAGGAGCATATGTAGGTTTTCAACCTCCAAAGCCCCCGGGGAACCTCCGTCTATTTTGGTTGGACGGCTGGAGATAACGGTGCACCGCTACAGGGAGTCGATTTCAATGATTCAATTTGAAAGGAAGCTGGCCTCCAAAATAGAGTGCATTTTATCGCCAAACCGTAGAGTTTTGTCAGTAGTTCATTTGTAAAAGATCAAGTTTGTTCCAGTCTAAATAATTTCCTTTCATATAAGTTTATCGAAGACGCAAAACTCCTTAGAACTATATTGTACCGGTAATGGATTGACGGAGCACGACTTGCTCGAAAATAACACATCGCCGAGAAACCGTAGAAATGAAATGTATCTTTTCATCTATCACGCGCACACGGCTTCTCCAAACATCATTAATCCTGCTAGTATTCAGAGGCAGGCAGGTTGTATTTTTAAAGGGCATCGTGTCTGTCCTGTTGTGTTGACAAACACTGGACATAGCAACCGTGCCATCATTAGTTACAGCATTTGAATTGTATGTTTACATTGCCAGCTGGGAGTTAAATACCAGTCGTGTAATTTAATCTCGAGGTGTATTTGTTTACTTTTAGTTTTCATAATGGAACTCCAGATAATTATTCGCAAAGACATCTTGTCGATCTTGCTTAATGGCCACGGCAGGTTTCATTATCACACGTTTCAACACCACATCCACTGGTGAAATTTATTGTGCATTTTCGCTCGGTGCGTGCAAAAGGCTGAAGATACCAAACGCTTTTTACATTTATATATATGTAAGCGGTGCCATGTGGATCATGGTTGAAAGCTGGGAATGCTGGTTTGCACTTTTCCTTTTTCTGCAAGGTCACAGGTTGCTCTCTTCATATCCATAATAGGGTTTATCATAATCTCTGCACGGTAGCAACAGCACCAATTTTCTCGCACCATGGACAATGAGGCTCCAGATAGGATGTAGGGCAATGTTCATTCATACATTCTAAAACAGTGAAACAATCTGCAACCGAGTAAACAAAGCAGATTGTGCAAATAAGACCATCCTTTCCACAAAATGCGGCTTGTATCGATTTCGTCAAGTATATGGAAACGACGGGGGTAAGAAGAAGTTAGGTGAAGTTTTGTCTAATCCTGCCTCCTTGAGCTACAATCCAAAAGACGGACCGACCTTCCGTCCAAGCTGCTCCCCTACCAGCAGTTCCCTTTTTTAAGATGAGTGTTTTCAAGAGAGCTCAGCCAACCAAAGGTATGCCGTGAAGTGTTTGGGGCGTTTCTTTCAAGTGGATTTTACAAGTGCAGTTCCGAACAGCGGCTCTAAGAATTTAACAGTTTCTAATTCTCGTAAGTTTAAAGCAAGACGAATTCAAGGGAACAATGATGGAGAATTAGGCGTGCATGATTAAGCGTAAAGGCACCCAAGAATCTAACATCAATTGTAAATTTGTACTTAACAACGTCATCTGGAGACCGGATTTAATCTTTGCCGTCCGTCACGGGATTGAAGTTTGACTTCTAGGGTCATACTGGTCTGCCTTTACCCTGCTGAAGGCAAGAGATTACCGCCAGGGCTTAATCCGGTCTCTCTCGTTCTGAGCTTTTGAAGGGGTGAAAAGAAAGATTTACACACTACAAGAAGACCGTACATTATTTGCATGCAACTGTGACAGTGTTGCATCACGTTTCTGTTTCTTACTCACTGGAAGGTCCCCGCCAGATTAAAAAGAATCTTGTTACAGAGATTTTTTGTGAGATTGTTGTAATTTATGCAAGCTATTCTTTAATCGAACGTCCACTAGTTTCCCAACTTTCATTTTTTAAGGACTCCCCCATATTTTTCCGAACATCTTTCAATCAGACGTTATTCGCTGCTCACTAAAATCTAAATTCCATATAACGTCTTTGTTCAACCCCGCCACAAAGGGAATTTTAGAGCCGCATCAGTAAATCTTGCATTTATTTTTATTAGTCACTTAGTAGGCTTAAATAATAACAGGATCTTGCAACCTGACATGTATATGTACTGGTATTCCACAAGTTTTTCAACGCAACGAGCATGCATCAAAATGTTTGATCTTATCAACAGAAAAGCTCTGATAGCTAAATCCGCCCTTCAGGTTTTCCTCACTTGTCTTATAGACCAATACTCGTCAAGCAAGACTATTAAACCTAACCCCCAAGGGTGCAAGTAAAATCATATTGAAATCAAAGGATTTTAGACTGTTAGGGTAACAATCATCTTTCAATAACCCCTGAAATATTTCATTTCACCGCATCTGTTCACCCCTAAACTACAAAGTTGGATTTTTCACCTTCCCTGTGGTTAACTTTTAGTTTCTCAGTGTGTGATTTCAGCACTGGTTAGACCGGTGGAAATTGCTTTGTACTGCCAATATATAAACCTGAGCGTATATGACCTCCCTCGTAAGTGTATCACTGAAGAAAAAGTACACACGTGCTAAAGCAACGAGGGATGGACTTCATTTCTTCGCGAATGCACTTTATGTCTCATGAAGCTTACTGATGTGGAAAAAAATAAAAAACGGGTGGGTACCTTCAGTTCTGTGGTTTTCAATAAATGCCAAGAATCTTAGAAATTCGTTTAAAATTTCTACAGGGTGTATTTGAAAGAAATGTGAATTATTCTGAAAACTGACTTTTTTTAAACGTCTCAACTCTCCCATTTCTCACAATGAGCGGCAGCGGGAGATGATTAACCAGACATTAGGCATTCCATTCACATCACACTACGATACTAATTTCTCTGAAACTGATCAGGCCATATAGCTGTAGCACCACTGGGTATAAAAGCCAACAGATAAAAAGAATGGGTGAACAAATGTCAAACAAACGATTATGAGTCAGTAATCTTGGTGTCATACTCAGTTATGGTATTGTGCCATTTTAAAATTTCAGACTTTTGGCTTAAAGTAGAACCATGCCCAGAGCTACCAGTAGTTTATTATGGAATGATGCCATGCTCAAGTTGTTTACATGGAAGCCTACATTTATCTACCCATTTCTAGTCATCTTTGAAAGATATTGTGATGTGCAGATCTACACAAAGAGTTTGCTTATGTGTGTACAAATATATGCATTACTGACGCTGATGGTCTCAGATTTTATGCCAGGGTACATCATGTACTCAAGTATATGAAACGGAGTAACTTGTAACGTTCACATGTCCTTATTTCTATGCACAAATGATTCATGGCAGGGAATATAGTTTCCCACATTCCTATATTCACGGACAGTCTGTGAAAGTTCATCTTTTCTAGCCTCCAAGGCATGGGTGTAGACCAATGTGCTAAGACGACGACCACATCTAGTAAACAGCCACATCAGTGTATACATGTAACACACAGTCACCCTCCAGAGACAAGTCGGATTTTCTGTTTGAGTACAACATAAACGGAAACCACTCAAGGGTGAGGGTCTGCATGCTCGTCACCCACTAAGATGAGCAGAAATTGCAAGACTGTATGAAAAAGTTGCCTGCTTTCCTGCTGCAGAAAACCATTGCAGTGTGAAGTGGTTGAGAAGAAGTTAGGCTGAACAACAGAACTGGGAGCCCCACTACCCAACTGCTGAAGTCAGGAACTGGTTGATAAACATAGGCCTGGGTCCTCCTACTCAATTTTAAAAACGGGAAATTTTAAAATAAAAATCTGATGAGGCATCATGGGCGATGAAACACTGCATGTACATGTATGTCCAAATGTTGTGATGAAAGTTTTGAGTAAGACAGAACTGGCACAGCATTTGAACAATATCCTTTTTTTTCGCTGAAGTTTGGGATGGGATTTCTTTTAGGTTAACTACATGTAGGTCCCTGTGATTTACTTAAATAAGGTACCTGGTTTCCTCTACTGCAGACCACTATTAAATGCTATGAACAGAGCAACGTCATAGTGGGGTATTAGTTAAACCTCTCAAACGAAAGCAAGATTGTCTTGATGGACATTTCATCTCTCAACGGTATGCAAATAAACTCCTCACTCCAACGTAAGTCAGTTCCTGCACAGTTATTGTCCAAAGGCGATTAAGAGATGCGGCTGGGGTCATACAAAAGTTGTTGCGATGGCAAACACTTTGGACAGGTCTTTGCGACTCCTGAGATTGGACGGAATGGGCACCTTGATCCTGGTGCCAGTGGGGTTCCCGTTGTCCTCCAACAGGATGATGTTGTTGGTGTCAAAGCGCGGGGTCATCCTGGGACCCGTTTGCTTGGTGCCCACGATCAGGGCCTTCTTCTTCTGGCCTCGGATGGCCACCAGGATCTTGTCCCCGACTTTGCCGATGCGCTGCTTGTTGTAGACCATGATGCAGCGGGGCGGCTTGTGGGCAGCGGCCGCCCCCAGGGCGGAGTTGTCAACGACGCGTAGCCTAGACAGGAGGATGATGCTCATGGCAGGGTTGGTTGTGCTGCCAAGACAAGTTTGGCCACATAAAAGTTGTTAAATCTTGACTATCAATTAGCTTCTGACTAATCGGGTCACTACATGGAGATGACAAGAAAATATCAAACTGCAAACCCGACTAAATAATAGTAAAGGACACAATCTCGCTGAAAGAATAAATTAGGCTGCATTTCAATCTCTTGTCTAAAGCTAGGTCTAGGTCTTCACTCCATAGGAAATACACAGAGACCTGCCGACAGTAGACCCAGCCGTAGCTCTGCAAGCCCATTTCAGACCTGGCCTTACATCCAGAATCTTCACCAAATCTTTCCAAGACACACTATTTGTTTAGCAGAATCATGTGTAGATTTCTCACTTAAAATAGAAATATCTGCTGCTAGGCTCATGACATTGGGAGATTCCCCTGAAGCACAAGAAATGGGTTCATTGGGTTTTGGGCGATTTTCCTTTTCAGGTTGATATTTTCCCTTTCCAGGTCGATATTTTCCCTTTCCAGGTCGATATTTTCCCTTTTCAGGCTGATATTTTCCTTTTTCAGGTCGATATTTTCCCTTTCCAGGTTGATATTTTCCCCTTTCAGGCTGATATCTTCCCTTTTCAGACTGATATTTTCCTTTTTCAGGCTGATATTTTCCTTTTTCAGGCTGACACTTTGCCTGTTCAGGCTGATATTCTCCCTTTTCAGGCTGATATTTTCCTTTTTCAGGTCGATATTTTCCATTTCCAGGTTGATATTTTCCCTTTTCAGGCTGATATTTTCCCTTTGCAGGTTGATATTTTCCCTTTTCAGGCTGCTACTTTCCGCTTTGGTCATGGTATCAATTTATCACTCACCAGTTTAACGGAGTAAACGTTCATTAAGCAGCAATCCACCCAATGTGTAAATACATGTATAACTCAGCTGGACCAGACAAAAAGAGATATTTCCTGCACTAATATCAGTATGCACAACTGTCTAATTTGTCAAGCCTTCAGAACTTTGTACAAAAAAATTGTCAACCTTGTCCCCGGAGGGGAGAGCAGCTTTGGGGACACATTGCTCAACATTATCAAACTATGGAACAAGGTAACAGCATGTAGAATCATGTTGTGTGAATGGTCAGAGCCCCTTGTGTCTTTGTTCACATGGTCCAGGACCTGTACTGAATTTTTTGTACACAGTTCAATAAGCTTGACGAGTTGGTTGTGCATATCCCAAGTAGCCCAGAAAAATGCCCCTTAAATTGTATTGAATCTGAATTACACATGTATTTACCCCTTGAGTGGATTCTTTGCTTCATGAAAGTTTGTTCCATTAAATTGGAGAGTGTTAAGTTGATACCTTGTCGGAATGGAAAAATATTCCCCTGAAATGAGAAAAGTGCCAAAATAACCCAATGAAGTACTGGGAAATCTGTCAATGAGCCTAGTGCTAGATATTTCTAGCTACATGTATTCCCACTTACCTAAACTTAGCTGAACAATTGTCGGTAATGCTTAACGCTGTCCCTAGTGCCTGCCGAGAGACAAGTCGGTTGAACTGCTGTAGCAGAAACATCTATAAAAAAAAATTAATTCCAGTTCCCGATTTTGTTTAATGGTTTGTATTTTCCACTTTCGTTTCAGGTCATTTGTCCAGTCATTACAAATAATTTGTGATGTAAACCACCGACACGTCCATGTAGCAATGGGTCTAGCAATCCTAACTTTTGTACAACTGCAGAGTTCAAAATTACCTGTCATCAGGTCATGCCTGTGCATCCGGTGTTAACTTGCTGTTTGCATTTTATTAGCCTTGGCAATCTTTTCTTGCCAATACATGTTGTTTGACTGTGACACAATTGATATTTTGTGGAGGAAGTAGACAGAAAAATTGAAGTCCTCTCAAACTATTTGATGAATGTAATCAACAAACATGAGGGAGGAATGCTACATGTATGATAAATCAATTAAATAGACTACATGTAACTAGGCTAGTATGCACGGATAGTTACTTGTGTTAAATTTATTCCTTTTGCTGTCTGGAAATTGGCCATCATGTAAAAATACCTTGCAAGTAATGAAGTGGGTAAGCTGTAACAAGACCATCAAATTCTATAGTTAAATGGCATTAGTCAATTATCACTGCCAATCAATATAACATTTTAATTTCCCCCTCTCGTGGTGGTACTGCAATAACCAGATCAGTGTTACACCGTACAGGGAGCTGAACATGAGGGGGTTTGAGCATGCCTTGTACGCCAGTTTCTTTTTCAGTTTGGGTACAAATCCGCCAAAAATTAAAGGAAAAACAAGCATAAAAGTAAACATGCGATCAGATTGAGAAAACAAAGAAAATGGAAAGAGTTCCATACATGGACATCATTTGACACCCTGTACACAGACCCTGGTCTGAAAAATTCTGCGTGATTTCTAAGTGAATGCTTTTCTATTTTCACTGCTAAATTTGACTGTTTAGGATATGTGTTATCCCTTTTGATGTGTTACAAGCTACGCAAGCAAATATAATTGATTTATGTACATTTATCAAGAAAATAAAAGAAGAAAAAAAAAGGAAAAAAATTGCATACAGAATGGACTTGATCGTGGCACGCCGGAATTGAAGAAAAGTGTGCATAAAAATTGCAGTAACATGATAAGCGGAAATTTAAACCTTACAGACTGGCAATAATTGTGTAATGCTGTAACTCTAGAGGGATTATGTATATAGAGACACCCCCCCAGTTTTTGTCATTTTAATCTTGCAAAACTGATCACTCCCCCCAAAAAAAGCCAAAGGCAATGCTCTCTTTATTGTGCTGACCCTTTTTTTTAGAAATATGGAGTTAGGCCTAAATTAGGAGAAAACTCCATCATGTGTCACATGTTAAACACTCAAGAGTTCCCCTCATAATTTCCCTCAAAACACAAAACTGTGTTCTCTTTTCACAACATCACCCCTAAAGTTATTCAGCATGATGTCATCTACCTAGGTGAATCCAACCATGGAGGATGTGTCCTTCGTCCATGATCCAACAGTTAACCCTAATAGTACTGGGCGTTGTTTGGCTTAGAGTACGCAGTACTACAAAATACTAAGTAACACTCTGAGCCTGAAGGACCTAGCGCTACAAATTACTATTTCTGGCTAGGTTTATTCCATTGTTACTCGTACAGAGAACAATGAAACCATGCATTCATAGTGCCACAGCACTGTATGGTACATTGTCTTCTCTAATGTATTTTATGGCTTCAGAGAATAATAATGTCATGTCCTCTTACAAGCAACAGGGCTGAGTACTACATTTTACTACTAAGTAGTACTTTGTAGCATTCGGGACTGATAGGGTTTAAATGTAACGTCCATGACCGTGTAGTCACCAGACCCCTTATTTCACCACTTACAGTGAAAACCAACCAGTCAACCAGACTTGACAATAGGTGGTGAAATTATACAGCAACAATTGTTAGGTCTCGCATATACATGTAGGCTTAAACCTTCATGGCCTTATCGCTAACCGCAGGGGTAATTTGCACAATGGTAGAAAGGCATTGTGGGAAGGAAAAGGAGCAAGATTGCCCTATTTCCCTTCTCACGGTGCCTAACATTGTGCCAAATCACTCATGCAGTATTAGCGATAAGGCTTATAGGAATGAGGTCCCCAAATAACCTGGTGTCGGTCACTTCACTCATATACCACTTTGCTCACAACCACTTAGCCCACGAGCCAATTCGCCCATGGCCTTTATCAAATTGGAGAGGAAGACACAGTAGAACAACCACACAACCCTTCCTGAATCCACTCTGATTGCTGGGAAAGATAAAAATATCAAATACGTGTAGTAATATTTAAGATACATGTATGAATTGATGGATTTAGAAACTGTCGAGGTTTTCTTTGACGTACACCGATGCAATGCCATAAGCTGGCCTGGCACCTGCGTACGTAGAGCGTGGAATACCTGAGCCACTCCTGCAACAACATAAAGTACATTCCCAAGTTTGCCAACTCAGATTTGATACAAAATGATCAAAAACTTCAGAAATATTTCTGTGACTTAGTTCATAGAATTAGAGTCATCTTTGCATATTTACTATTTTTATGAAGTCCCAGTACAGTGCACCCTGTTGGAAAACTTCAGAGCATTGTGACAGAAACACTGCTTTTGAAAATACATTTAGGGCCACTGTGTCAAAATCCTGATGTTTTTATTTTTATATCCGTTGCATGCAATGGAGATTTGTCGATTAGTGAAATTAGGGCATGCATTATCACCACCCGAAATTTTGTGCGGACGAAGTGGCACGTGGGCGAAGTGGTATGTGGGCGAAGTGGTTAATGGGCAAAGTGGTAAATGTGCCAAGTGGCAAATGTGCAACATGGTTGTGGGCGAAGTGGTTGTGGGTGGAGTTCCAACTACTAGGCCTACCTACCCTGCTTAGGCCCTAAAATTGAAATGAAAATGTTCATCACTATTATACAAGCCAACGTACTGATTTCCGCCAGGTTTTATCGTGCACTGAGCTTGCTGCAACCAAGATTAAACACGAGAGACCAAAATTATGGAGTTCATTAGATTCCTCGTTAAAAAGTATTGACAGTAAGTCAGTATTTAAAACTAAATATAAGACTTACATGTACTTGTTAAATAATTATTTATAGATACAGATAACGGGTTTACTTGTCATATGTATGTCCATGTTTTATTAATTTATATTGTCTTATGTTGTATGTGTACATGTGTAATCTCTTGATGTAACTTTAACTTAATTAACATGGGGCCTTTTCTTGACAAGCTTTGCTTTTTAGTGACCCCCGTCCACCCTAATTATATAATCAATCTAAATAATGTGTATTTACCCTACCTTTGTGGTGGTAAATAAAATAAGACTGACTGACTGAAGTAAAATTTGGAAGTCACACAGGCCTACCATGATTACAGTTAGGTCTACAGTTAGGCACATGCCCCCTCCACAAATTCCCCCTCCCCCCACTGAAAACACAACAGAGTGATGGATATTGAACAAGGCTAACAAAAACTAGCCCCAAAGCACCCCACCACTGCAAGCTGGTGTCCCTCGCATACATGTAAGATGCTGGTGCCCGCTTTGTCCCCCCCCCAGTAAAATCCTAGCTACACCACTGCAAAAAGCAAATGCATGCCCAGAAAAGTTCATTTTAGGCAGGTTAGGAGGTACTTCCTGAGCAGTAAGGCACTACTCCTTAGGCCCTCTTGGGTTCATCTTTTTGATGGTTCTGGAAGCTATGACATTTGTGGCCGTACGTAGCGTGACAAAAACAGGCGCAGCGTATTCACGTAACGAACATTTATGTTGCTTTTGGATACCAGTTCCTATAGTTCTAGCTACTCTCGCTAAGATTATGTATAGAGACCTCAGGGAAATCTGTGGTCAAGGATGCGAACTAAAAAGTGATGCAGATGTGTACGGATCGTCAAGGAATGAGAGGCGAGGATGGTAGAAAAAACCTCATTTTTTGCCAATAATATAGGTTAAATGCTACAAAATACATTCAAGCCCAGTAGTTCCAAATGGAGGTTTTCTCTGGGATGATCACCTGATGATTGCAGGGCACTTTTCAAATGCCATAGCATACCGAACCATCAAAAAGATGACTCAGTAAGGCCTACGGAGTAGTGCCTTACTGTTCAGGAAATACTAGTTAGGTTAGGAGGGAAAATGTTACACCCCAACTGAACAGTCCCGACTGTAGTGCTGCAGTTGGGCTGGCCAACTATTGTTGACCAATTTCTAGGCCCCCATATAGAAATTTTCTCAACCTTATCCAAGTTTATGCATCTTAGTTTACACTTGACACAGTTCATCTAAAATATGGCACTTCATCTATGACATGACACTGTAAACGATATGACTTTGTTACATGCTGGACACATGCACACTGGACCTCTGTGCTGTAGTTGGGCCGGCCCAACTAGCATGCCTAACTATAGTTGGGACTGATGCTGTAGTTGGGCGTAACAAAAATACCAAACCAAGCATGCCAAATCGTTCAAAGATTTAGACATGTTAGAAAACACAGTCTGCTGTCCATAGGCATATGGAACTCTTTCTTAAAACAGAATCTTAGGGCCTACGTAAAAGTGAAAACTGTACAAACTCGACGGCTGATACAATGTATTTTTGACTTAGCATTAGCAAAGCCCTACCTCGGGACGTAGAATAGCGAGGAAGTGTGGCTACACTACATGCAGATGAACATCAATGCACTTAATGCGCCGGTACGATACCGTACCGGTGAAGATCGAAGATGACAGCGCCCCCATTCGTCCAAAATAATAGTCGGGTTCTCGCTATATTAAGTAAAGTACTTATTTGGTAATATTGTCAGTCAGGGTTTCGAACAATTTTTTGCGGGGGGGGGGGGGTTTGCAGTGGCTGTGTCGAGGGTCCGGTGTCAGGTGCTTCGTTAACGTTTTCGAGGAGCTGTCACATGAACGATCTAACGATCGTGAACGCTGGAGTCTGAAATAACGAAGAGGCTTTTTCGTGTACCTGGAACCGTAAGGTAGTATTCTTGTTTCAGAAACGACGTAAAACGAGTTTGTGTTCTTGTTTGCATCGAAACATTTCTTGCATGATATCTGAATTAAAAAAAATGTTGAGTCTGTAATTTGTGTAAAGTTACAGTGTAACGTTAGGCAAGCCTCATGAACGTCAGGCCTAGGCCTATCCATATGCACTGACTATAGACTAATGAGGCTACATACATGTACATGTACACTGTCTGACTAAACTTAGTCATTCCTTCATCCACGGTCCAATCTGACCATGATCAGACTAATAAAAATATCCTTCCATTTGTGTAATGCTGTTAACCCCAACTCAGATTTGAACTGAACCCCGATTTAAGCAGGTTGGGGACCAAACCACAGTCTAGCAGCGTCCCTAGTTTCTGCTTATGTCATGTACGATGTATGTTGCTTGTTCAAGCGGCAATGACGTCATTTTTATCAGGTCCCGTGATATTATTACGCCCCAACTATAGCATAAGTCCCAACTATAGTTGGGACAGTCCCAACTGTAGTGCTGCGGTTGGGCTGGCCCAACTATTCTTGACCAATGTCTGTGGGAAATGTCTCAACATTATCCAAGTCAATGTGTCTCACACTTGACACAATTCATCAAAAATGTGGCACTTAGCCCTATGACCAATGACATGACATTTGTAAACAATATGANTTTTGGCACATGCTGGGCACATCATGCACACAGGACCTCTCTGCTGTAGTTGGGCCGACCCAATTGTGGAACTCTAGTTGGGACCGGCCCAACTATAGTTGGGACGGGCCCAACTATATTTGGGACTGATGCTATAGTTGGGGCGTAACAACATGATGTAATTTCCCCGCACGATTTTGGGAAAATAACGAGATTTGAAATGCTGGCAGCCAACATGGCCGCCGTTACCGCAATGACCATTGGAATCTATGGCAAAATTGTTTGCGATCGCTAGGATTTTGGAAAATCGCCACTGTAGACATAAATTTTGCCACTGAGAATCGATGGAAATTTTTAATGGCAACATTTTCATGCCTAAAGTAAACTTCGGCAGAGCTTTATTTTTCCACATAAACGCTTTCATCAGCAGAATAAGACTCTCCTGCCCACCGAATTATACAAAGCCAGTGCAAGATTGAACCAAAAAATCTCCTTGATCCACCTTTATAGATACCAAATGAAAGGACAGTTTCATTTAGATCTTGGGTAGCAATGTTTCCTTTAAATTTGATTCTGAGGAATTTGTATTTGTATTGAAGTTTTTTGCCGACAAAGAGATCAAAGTCATCTGTGAACCATGATCGCAAAATACATGTAGTTCAAAAATTACATCATCGTTGCACAAACAAGCAGCGTATGCATAGTCTGGTGTCGTTGCTAGATTGTGGTTTGGTCCCCGACCATACTATTACAACCCTGTGTAAAGTAAAATGGCTGTGAAGCACCCTGCAGGTGCCTTTTGGTTTCGAATTTACCTGTTTCCTCACTTCACTCTGGTGCCAAGATCATAATTTTGGCTTCAGAACCATGTCTGTGTGTACAGGAACAGTGAACAGCCATGACAGTTGTATTTGTTATCTTTGGAAGTACGTGTACATGTAGGTGTACAGGTGTGTCTACACTGTATATGTACATGTACAAGACAGTTACTACGTGTGTAACTGATTGATACACATGTACAAGTTCATATCAATTTACCCTGCATCTACATGTAAATATGCTTTTCCTGCAAGGGTAAGGCAGATGACTGGCGAATTGGTCTGTCCATATGCTTTTGCTGTAACATGTACATGTAAGTGCATGTACATGTACACGCACTGTATTTTAGGGTTGTTCTAAATCTTCATCTGGTTCCGTGCCTACATTGTCAATGTGAATTCGTATTCACAAAATGGAATTTAGATCAACTGCAGTTTTGAACTTATTAATTAATCAGTATATTAGTAAAAGCTTGTCCAGAGCCATGCATCACAATTTTAAGGAAATGTGTAATATCTTGTAATTGAAGTTCTGCTTTGATTTACTAGTACAGTGTACTTGTACCTGTATGCACCGGTAGATCATTCATGTTGCAGGTTTTTTGGGTAGCAAAAGAAACTTTGCATTCTGCTGATCTGCCTAGGGAATCGATGCGTGATCACATGACTTCATGGTTGGCTGCCTGACTAATTACACCATATACCAGTACTCAACCATTCCCACCAGGACTTTAGCATTGATTCAATGCAGTCTGTTTTAAAGAAAAATTACCAAATGAGGCAAAATATACACTTTAGAAAAAATGGTTCACAAAAAAATTTGAAAAATGCAAGAGCTACGATTTTGTTTAAAGAGGCTTCTGTTTCTATTACATGTACATGCATGTATGGGTAGGTCTATACCGTTGTGCTTAGAATCTGCATTAAGATTGGAAATCAGATATACCGGTACCGTACACACCAAAAGGAGTCCATTACAAAGTATTATGCTTGTTTGATTAATGTGAGTCCTAGTAATGCTCAACATGTCACTAAGGACTTGAGCTATGTATTGGTACAGGTACCCGGTACTGGTACTGTGTACCATACATGTAGAGTTTATAAATGTACGTACCTGCCCATTGCTGAAAAAGAAATACTTTGATAATTTCCTTTGAAAGAAATTTCTTCGATCTTTATAATAACCATGATGTTAAGCACCTTATTGGTTTCGCTACGTTGTTTGTTGGATGATGTCTAAATTTAAGTACATGCACATGTATAAAAAATGCAAGAGGAGGTAGGTTACACAAAACCAAGGCATTGCTGACTGAGGGTTTCAAGTCCGTGAAAACCTTCTTCAGGCATCAGTGTTTTGATTGGTGCCTGACTAGTTAGGTGTCCTTGCAAAGCTTTTGCTTTATTTCTTTTTTTTCTTTTTTTTAATTTTTCTGCTGTTATCCTTGCAACTGGTGGGCCCAGGTTTGTGAATGTGTGGTCCTACATGTGCACATGTACATGTGTTTTACCAACTGGTGCATGCAACTTTCAACATGCATTGTACACTTACACGTGCACTTACCGTATGTATCGTGGTATATGCAGAACTGTACATGTCAAGTTCCAACTGTGGTCATTAGCTGGTTTTGATATTTGCTCAAGTACGAGTACATCTTGGACACGAGTCTGACCTCTAAACACTTCATTGCCATTCAGCCATTTGTGAATACAAATCCAAATGATTGTTAATTCAACCATCCCAACAATGCTAAAGACAGTTAAGGCACAATTGATATTCTCTGCACTTCAACAACCTCAGGGCAAGAAATGCACAGAAGATGAGGTGTTCTGGCAACGTCTCCGTGCGATGTTAGTCTGAGGATTGATATTGATAATTTTGGGGTCAGGTTGGCGTAGTCGTTCTTTCCTTGCCTGTCACCTCTACAGCCCGAGTTCAATTCCCGGCTCGCTCCACATGTGGATTTGGGTTTCAGCCCCTATCTGATCCTGTGGGTTTTACCTTGTGGTTTTCCTCCCACCTCTATAACTGTAACTGCGTCTCACTGTCTCCTCTCTACAGATATGGGCTGTTTGGCGGCTGCCTGAGGCACCCTGCCTTGTACAGTATACATGTACATGTATGCCTTTGGCCCACCTTGTAAATCTGAGGGCCTCCACGAAAAGCAGTGCTGTGCACTTGGAGCTTACCCTCGTTAAACATGACATGCATGTAAATAAAAGATATTGAACACAGAGGAAACTACTTTAAAGACATGCAATGACATTTGTTTCCCCCGCCAGACAACCATGCGTTATCCGTTGAAGATCTGGCGGCCTTAAAAGTATACATGTACATGTACAGTAGCTAAGGTGTAGAACGCAGTTGAAGATTGAATGAGATGATCACTTGAGTGTTACACATTTTACTCTTTTGCACAATGTATGGTACAATTACATGCACATGTAGGTGACTTACATGTGTAGATACACTGTACCACTTGACTTCAATTAACCATTAGACTTCACAGGCTATTATCAAACTTTTAAAAGGTTAAAAAGTTTTTAACTTACACTGTAGCTTAGAAGATGTTATTTTGAAATGGAGATAGTGAGAAATTATACATGCACATACCGGTACATGTACATGTAGGTAATACTACATGTACATGTATAGGTACATGTATACATATGTAGTCATGTTCACACTTCAGAAGTCTAAAAACTGAAATTTTCCAACTGGACTCTTTATTTATAGAATAACCCATGTATACGCATACATGTACATGTACATACTGTACATATATTACATGCATATATGTATGTATTACATGTACATGTATGCAAGTACATGTATACATGTACATGTATGTGTGCGTATGCATTGTAAAGGGCACTGGTTGCGTGCCTAAGGCTGTTCAGACTGGTACTTCAGGTGAAAAAACGGTGAAACCAAAACGAATTTGAGATCTCAAATTCTTACAGCAAACTTTACATGAATTGAAATGTGCTCAACTTGAGCGGATATTTTAGTACATGTACATGAACTTGTACAGGATTTTGGTCCAGTGTCACAATTTTTGACATTTTTTCATATCCTTTTTTGAGCCACCCATGAACCAGCCCTCATGCGTGTACATGTTCTGTACGTGTACAGTACATGCACGGTTACACTGGATGCTTTTACATACATGTACATGTACAGTACCAAAACACCCAATAAAAAAAAGTTGACTCACAATACATGGTGGTGAATGTTCACCTGGATTTTGTTGCATCGCTGTGGTGTACGTACTTACAGTTGTACCGGCAGCTTAAGGCTTTAAAATGGATTGTAATATGAAATGTAGGCCCTACATGTACTGTATGTCATCTGCAAATTAATAGGTTTAAATAAATGTGTTACACATACATGTACATGTAGTATGTCGAATTCTAATTTTACAAATTACAGTTAATTTCATTTTCCTATCCCTCTCTCTGTACTCTGATGAGAATTCCCTGTGTCTTCGTTTATAGTATCTCTAACCAGATGACAAATTATTCCATTGACATGAATATTGGTGAAGGGCTAATGAAGAACATGTACATGTACAGTGCATACATGTACATGTACATGTATTTTTTTCTCCAATGTGTACTCTGCACACTTGCAGATTAAGTTGCAGCTGCAATGCTAATGGTTTTTCCATTGATTGTCAGACAAATTAGTGAGAAGCCAGTGCAAAATGTCAGGTGCTCACCATGCACTGGGAAAACAGAGTCCTGATCTGTCATTGAGAAATCCATCGATGATGAGACGGTGCAGTGTATCAACTTAAAGCAGCTAGTCCAGAGGAGGAAAAAGCCTCTGGCATCTACAGGATCACAGCAGGATTTACCCCATGCACCCCGTGACGATGTACATGTATGGCATTGTGTGAGAATGATTGCATTGCATCTTGCAAGACATTAGGGATACATTATCACCTGCCAGATGTTGCATTCTATGTACATGTGTATGTACATGTGTAATTCCTCACAAGAACACACTTGAATGCTTTTTGTGCCAGATCATTTAGAAATTTCGGTGTTGAGTTTAAATTTTGTTTTAAATTTGGGATACAGTGTACTTGTACTGAAAAAGGTCTGGCTCAGTTCTTTTTTGTTCTTTTTGTTGTTTTTTTGTGGCTGATCATTGTTTATATGAACATCGTACAATGTACCATTATTGTACATGTACATTATACCATGATACATACAGTGTATTTTTGGCCATACCATTTAGGTGTTAAGGACTTTAGAATAAATTAATGTGCCCATGCATTGCAACATGAAAACAATACCGGTGTGTTTTTCAGTCATCTATTGTTGATCATTTTGCTTAAAATTGGAAACTTAAAATTGATGTGTGAGTTAATTGTGAGTGAGGGATGGTACCAGTACATGTACATGTATTAAGGTATTTCATTTAAAATGCTCTTTTGATTAAGTGAAAAAACTTCCTCACTAAAAGTTTACCAAAATGTAGCGGTAGAAATAACTTGTTTCTAAAAAATCAAAATTTAATGATCCAATACATGTATTTCATGTACACTGTACATGTGCATACAGGGTACATGTTGGCTTCACATAAATTGCTTAGCTTACATTATAAAAATGTGATACTGAAAATATTACAACAAACCAAAATGTGTAAACTTAAGCCATGGCCTGTACACGTAGATCTTGAACGTGTGTTTATACCTGTATGCCTTGGCCCTGCTTTCATGGCTTTCTGCCAGGCATGTACTGTACATACATGTATATAGTACAGTGTGTTAGAATTATGTACAATTTGTACAATTTTTGTGTGCCTTTCAACTAATGCAAATGAACAGATGCTGGCTACATTATAACAACAAACAGATGGTTTGTTGACATCTGGGCCATTCTATAACTTTGGGCCCAATTTTTTCTGCATGCCTGTACATGTACAGGTATGTCTTTAATTTCCAAGAGTGATAAAGTAATTTTACATGTAAATGACAGTATGGTACCTTCCAACATGTCCAAATGTACATGTATGTACATACTGCATGTACATGTACATATGCAAGTACAGTTTGAAGTTACATGTTATTTCAACGACATTTCCAGGTCAAATTACACAGGTCAGAGTCAGGAATACAAATTATTGCTCATTTGGACCCCAAATTTATGGAAAGACTTAGGTACCGCTACCCCATTTTTGTAACTGTATATCAGTAGATTTCCTTGAAATTCTTCCCACATCAATCCGCTCCGAGCGGAACAAAAGAGGGCCTGTTTTTTGGTACTCACCACATACATACATGCACACCATGAGGTGCGCAAGTATATGCATGTTTGAAGTCGAGCGCGCTGAGTATACGTAACTAATTTATTCCGGCATGTACATGTATGGTCTTTGTGCACACACAGAATGCGTGGAAGAACCCGCTTGTAACTGTCTTTCTTTTGCCTGTTGGGGGTGCACTTCAGCCCGGGGCGGATAGGCCTACAGGTACCGTACATACATGTACCAGTATTTGAGTGCAATGTAGTTTGGGCATTCTGAGTGTACCATGGTATTATATAAGTGGGCAGGCCTTCACCTCATTAAGGAGACAATTTTTGTTGTTAGTGGTTGTTGGGCAAAATACCGGTAGGACCGAGTTGTTGATACATTTGTCTATCCTCAGAGCATTTTGGTCCCCACAAAATCATGAAAATAGGTGAAATACTGGGTATCATATGCCGGTATCACCAAAACTATAGAACAAGTACTAGTATGTGTGTGTACTGTACTGGTAGACTTGGCGCATGTACATGTACATTTACATTGGTGAATAATGTACCATGTAAATGTACATGTACCGGTATGTTCCAATCGATAACCTTTTACGTGTACATGTAGCTGGTTCATATTGTACATGTCACATGTACTGGTTCATATTGTACATTTGGCATTAAAGTGAACATGAATGCAAAATTATGTATAAGTACATGTACATGCACATCTAAAAGGTTATCAATTGGAACATATGGTACACTATTCACCAATGTACATACACGTGTACATTGTACATACATACATGTACATTTGGGAACCAGCCTAGGCTGCAAGAGTTCAGCAATATTTACCTTTGCCATGTTTGCTGTAAATACACTAGTACATGTTAATGAACATGTACCGGTACAATAGGCCTACGTACATGAACATGTACCTGTACATTTCTTATGGATGCATGTACCGGGATCGTATTCAACATTTTTCATGGTTTTTAGGAAATTGTAGACACTTGTTACTTGTCTTGTAACTGTGCATAATGTATGTGTACATGTACATGTACATGTATTTCACTGTTGTAACAGTCATGACTGTGTACATGTAACCATGGAAAGCATGGTGTATTCACCAATAGAACCTTGTACATGTAAGTCATTATTTCAGGCTGTCATGGCTGCGCAGCTGGGTACTTTTTACCAAAATATGATAACTTATTACCTGAATAATTACTGGTATATAACTGAATTCTTTAGGAATTGATCAATATGAAACCTCAGTGCTTCACCATTACATTTGGGACCAGTTCTAAATTAGCGAACTGAATGTATTAACCTCATCGACTGGAAAAGAATATAAAAATTTAAAAAATTTTTGATTTAAAAAAATCTGTAATTATGGCAAGTCATGCCCTCGTTCATCATTGATAGTGTAGGCATGTAGACAATGATTTTGTAGTAATTTTGATGTTTAGAATAGAAAAAAATTCTTTCTTGTCAGGCATATGTCAGGACTGTTTCTTTTTTTTTTAATTTTGGATTGGGTATTGTTAACAGTGTTTATAAAATACAAACATTACCTGGATACACAAGTTTTACATGCATTACATGTACATGTAGAGCATATATGTACATGTACTTGTAGTTCTCATACTGGTGTTGTAGTCAAGACTATCATAAGACCAGTCATGAGACCAGTTAATGTACGGTACAACCCCAATCATGAGTTACTTTTTGAATAGCAGAAGCATGCCTTTGTTGCAGTTCATTTGGTTAGCTTGCAAATTGTGACTTGCATCATGCACTGGTGGTTGGTTGATGGTTTTGTCAGGTTTGTGATGGCAAAGAGGTCTGGACCACATGTGCAACATTTTCCCACACCGTACTACAGTGTACATGTATGTATGTACACTGTAAATGTACATGTACGTATATGCACCCCCCTACTGTACATGTACAGGTACTAGGGGTGCATTGCACTCAAGCACACAACAGGAACGTTGCGTGTTTTATGCACACATTTCCAAACCGAAATTGGTTACCAATATACCAGTATTTCTTCAGCAGATGACATTTTCTCCTGCACAGTTACACATGGTCCAACAATCTTTGCTCTCAACTGCCACTCACATTTGCTAAAACTAATTTTCCAAGGTACAGAAACCAAACCAGCAACATTGTAAGTATCATAAATTCTTCAAATTTCTGGCTGCACGAAGTAAGACAATGCTGTTTTCTGCCATGTTTACAAACTGTGGCGAAAGCACTGAGGAACATGTACATGTACATTTACGTACGCTCTAGTCCAAACTTAGCTTGGTGCACAGTTTTCTGACATTTACCCAAATGCTAGCGTAAATTGAATGTACAATATACAGTATGTGTAAGTCCTGAACTGTTCACCTTTTCCCTCACATTGTAGATTGTCATTCTGCTAAGGTTGAAGTGAGGGGCTGTTTGCCATGGAGAACTGTGTCCTGGCTGGAAAGAACAACTCTGCGATTGCATTCCTGGAGTATGGAGGGATTCCGTCCAATATCGGCTATAATATCCTCTTCTTTGTGGTGAGACATGCACTTCATGTATCTGTCCTCTTTTAAAAAATATTTCTTAATTTTATCATTGATAAATCTGTATACTTTGTGCTTTGGTATACACTTTATGCCATACGCTGTATAATATCAGCCATTGAACTGTGATTTTATTTCATAAAAATGAAAACAAGAATTTGACAACTCGTTTACCTGTATGTACAGTACATACTTGTTTTGTACCGGTAGCTCTGGGGACTGTCCTCGTGTTGGAACAATGAAGCAAATGGCATATACATGTCCATGTTACCATGACTTGTTCTGCGCATTCTAATGGACTGCCTCTTCGAAAATAGTTGCTCTCAGAGGTCCCTTTCAGTTTTTAAATTTAATACCGGTACCTTAACATACTGTACCCTTTCAGTCTTGACATGCCTAGACCACAGAGGAACTCATCTAATGTTCCTTCCGCATTCAGTGACCTGTCTCTTTCAATTAAGGTTTGTCTTGCACATGCACTGGTACACGTGTAGCTGGGAGTATTACATGTGCATGACAGATCATGGAAAGTCACGAAGAAAGCAATCCTGTGAGTTACATGGCCTGTCATCTCAGTGATCTCATTTATCAAGTGACACATGTATGGTACATGTACGTGTACATGTACACTGTATGCATGTTTTCATGTATACACATGTTGTGCATGTTGTAAGGATTTTCATACATTGTAAGTTGCTTTGTTAGATGTATACATGTACGGTAGTTTAAGTACATTTAGCGGTACTGCTATGGAGAAATAGTACTTTTACTAATGTAGGCATGTTCAATAGGCAAACTGTTTTGGATTTGTTTCAGATTCTAGTGCTGCTTTTTTCAGTTTTCCGGAAGATAGCAGGAGACTACGGGCGCATCGCTCTTATGCAAAATGGAGAAGAGAGGTGGGTTATACACGTACACTTGTTGAAGTGACAGTATGCCTTGCATTATTAATGATCACATGATCTGGAGAAAACCATCTGGTTAAAAAGATCATGTGAAGTTTGGTGACAGAAAGTGTGTACCATTTGGCGCATGTGTGATAACATGAACCTCATGTTGTGTAGACGTACGTAAAACTTGGTCATGCATATATGCTTCAGCTCAACATTTGCAGCCTTTGGTAGGTTCAGTACTTATCCCTCCAAACGGATAAAAATTGTAATAAGTACAATGCAGGCGAGGTGAGGGCCTCTGCAGAGAAGCGTATGAACAACAGATCATGTATTGAATGAATGAGACAAAAGTTTGGGTTGGCACCCTGTGAACCTCTTGTGATTAGCGAGGCTCTGACTTAGATCAGTGAATCAGTGGGCTCAGCATTACCGACAGTATACTCTGTCAGTCATCGGGAGAAGATGACCACGGATCTTCTGAGAACCTCACTCACTCATGAAAGAGTTAACACGTACATGTTCATATCACAAACCAGTATCTCACTGCTATTTTTTTAGTTGTACATGTACACACCCGTATATACTGTACATTGTACTGTAAGTCCATCGTGCAGACCTTCAGATCATATGTACTGATTCCCAATCACCTTACTCAGTCACATGCAACTGAATTGTAATCACTTCATTTTGTGTTGCTCTCCCCATTGATATCATTTTCCCCCTTTATTCAGGTTTCTCCGTGGAGATTCAAGGTAAAGCATACTGCCAGCTATTCTTTTTTTTGTTCCAGTTAACTGCCATTAACATTATTCTTGATTGTGGAAATGTTACAATTAATCTCATGGCTTCTTTCATGTACCGGTACATGTACAGCACATGTACATGTAGCTGGGCAGGCATACATGTACATGTTCTGACACTTTTAAGTCCTGTCTTTGTCCTTTCTCCAGCTATTCTTTTACTTGAATTTCATCGGTTCTGGTACATGTACATGTAGAAATCTAGTTGTGTCATAACAGAAGTTTGGTTTACCGTTTTCTAAAGCTGGTTGTTTCTGTCACATTTAGTGCAAGAGGGTTTTTTAGTTTGATTCCATTATATAACCGGTAGTTGGGGTGATTTTTCCGACTGGGATCTTGAGGCGAAGATACATGTACATACATGTAGTTGAGGAGGGGATATGGAAGATCAGCGGTTATTTGACTACTTGAACTTTTGTCATAGGATCTTGGGCTCATGTCCTGGTTTCACATAAATCTTACCACTTAAACCTTTTGTCTTGAATAAATACATGTATATTGACAACTTATTGCTTTGTCATGTAAATGACAAGCTTGTAAAAAAGTGGGTGCAGTGCGTACTGGGGGTACACTGTACATGCACATCTGAAAAAATTATCTCTAAATACCACTGCAAGATGTCTGTGTACATTTACCGTATCATTTCTGTTATCCAGTTGTTTTCCCATCGTTGAACACTTTTATGCCTTGTGATGAGAGCGTCAGTAACAACATTTTAAATTTGACTTGGTTTTTTTTTTTTACACTTACGGTACGTGTACATGCACCCACGCATAGTGAATCACCTACCGGTATGTTGATTAAGGTTATGAACACTGTCTTGTGAAAGTGGATGATACTTCAGTGTGCCCATACAGGTGTGAATCCGTGTACAATGCTTCAGACATGGCAGTTAATTCTACATTATACAAATTATACATTTTCAGTTGGTTGAAAATGTGCTGCTTTTTCATTCATATCAGGAAACTTTTTTATTTCAAAATGCACCAGCTGAGTTGGATTAAAAAATTATTTCCCTCGTGTACATAAGTGTATATGATTGATGCATGTTGTTCATAAATGTATGTACCGGTACATGTGTAGTCAACTCCTGTGTTATACATGTACCGGTACAGAGCATCATGTATTCTCCAGAATCTTACAGGGGTGTGGGGGCAGAAAGTGTGAAAGTGCCAATTTCATCATGATGATCAGTCTCAGTTGATGCACCCCATGGTGGTTACATGTAAATGTACCTGTACTTGATGTACACGTGTAAGGCATTAGCCTTCAAATTTTCTAGATTTCTCAATTTCAACCCTCCTCCCTGAAAAGGCTCTGCAAAGGACACAAGCCAATAATAATGTTGTGTCTCTATAGACCAGCATTCAAGTGGTCGCCAAGTGTCCACAATCCATTTACTGTCCCCTTTAATTAACACAGTATGCCTACCCAGCGTGATACACATCTCATATACCACATGTCCAGGTTGGATACAATGTTGTGGGTTCTAGCCTATTTAGATTATTGATTGCAGAGGACAATAATTCAATCAAGCCGGCTAGATTCCCCTCGCTGTATGAAGCCATCCCCTATCCCCCATCCAGCACTACACTTCAGTGCAACATCCATCTGTCCCTCCCTCCCACGTACATGCAGCACGCATCATATTAATGTCAAGTTTTATTTCTGCATCCTAGCAGATTGTTCCCATAATGACGGCAGTCTCGTGTTTCCCAAGGACGGTTACCTTAGCCATTCTCAGACCATTCACACACTGCCTGGGGTGGCAAATCCTGTGTTGATATTTACAGAGGACGATGTTATCGTAATCCATTCCAAATCAAGAAAGTTGTTTGCCATGAGATGTTTGTAACAGACCAGGCAGACAAGCCTCTGAGGCACTGGTGATACCGTTACTAGTCGTATGTCCAATATGAGCTGTTCTGATATCTTCCCCCCGTAATATCTTTACATTTTGTATGTTGCATCCTTTGAATGCGCACGTTCTTGGAAGACAGGATTGCTGGATAAAAGTATTAGCTTGAGAGTTGAAATTGAAAAATTTGTCTCACATGACACCATACTTGCATATCAATTGGGTCCTCGGAGTAACAAATTCTTTAATATTAGACTGAATTTCCCAGGAAATACACATGTTTTTCCTTAAATTTCTTTGAATCCTGTTTATTGACAAACTACCGGTAATGTGATTCCCCATAGATAGAGGTTCACACATCTGCATGGACAGCTACATGTGTACCTGTAATATGTTAATGAATCCGTTGTATCAATTCCCCTACTACACCAATCCATCAGTTAAAATTTATCCTTCAGGCTCAACCATGAAATGAGTTCATGCCTAAAGCCATGTGGATTTAGTGCACCTCCGAACCCTCTGTAATTAGGCCTACATGTACATGTATCATTAGCCTATGCGTGCATAAATGCCTGAGTGTACTGCCTACATTGGACAGTACCATACTAGTACACCATCCTGATATGAATTAGAGTAATACATGTATATGACAAGGACTAACCGATTAGTAAGTGCAAAGTTACACTATTATGGGGGCACGTTACCATTAGACAAGCTTTAATGTACACATGTACAAGTATCGTTACATACATCGTCACATATACATGTATACACACATGTACATGTATGTACACATGTATGTATCTTGTGTTATTATCATGTTCGTGGTGGTATTGAATCTTACAGTTGGTCTCAAATTAACCCTTTATTAAAATCTTACAATTTAATGGAAGAAAACTTGAGGCAAATTGAATTTGTAGTGTTGCGTGTCTGTTCTTAAAACACGTACATGTATGATAGTTGCTTTACAAGAAAACTTGCTTACAGCATGAACTTCGTACATGTATAGATGTAGGATGTAGGAATATATTTCACAGCCTCCGTGTACTTGTGAAATGTACTGTACATGTATGTACCTTACAAACATGGCAAAGAATATTCTTTTGGAGAGTGACTGTCTGCTTCTCTGGTACATGTACGTGTACGTGTAGAACCCTGTTAAATTTATCGTTAAATAAACTCTGTTAAATTTATTTTTGAGTGTCTCGTCAAAACTTGAATCATTTGACACATTCCAGCAGGCCTGTACATGTACACACACAACTGTATGTCCTCAACCTTTTTATGTGAGCAATGCAGGGCACTTTCCGTGGGAGCATCTGAATATCAGGTGTTCCAAGATGGCAGCCATATGTACAGTACACCATATACACTGTGCATAATGCATTTGTGTACTACTTACTACTAAAGAGTATTTTTTTTTCAACTGGGATGCAGCTGATTATTCCAGAAGATGTCAGAAAATCAACATTTCCATAAAATTTTGAAAATGTGAACCACCTTTCTGGTACTGGTCGACTGATACACGTACATTGCAGGGTATCGAGGGCGAATGTGAACATTGGCAAACAGTGCATGGGTTTAATTGCTAACAAATACAGTAGACTTTAGTAAGACTTTGATCTGTTTCCACCAACCCTTTTTGTACAAGTCAGCTTGCATGGTTTGGTGAAATAGGCCCTACTTAAAGTTTATATTACACATACATGTACTGTACATGCTTTGCTCTTGTGGGTGGGACACAAAAGATGTGTGCAGCCCACAGAAGTTTCAGCCCAGCTGCATTGCAGCGTACCGTAGTTCCTTGCTTCCTCATTAATGTAATGTAGCAGTACTAGTTTCAGAGACAGTTTAAGCAGAAACTCTTCAATGTACATGTATGTGGGATGCACACACCGATAGTTGCACACGAGCCTTTAGAATTCCACAGTTCATCAGTATAAATGTCCTGGAATATGTTTTAAATTGAGCTACCTTGCACGTGTGTACTGTGCTCTAACCTTCAGGCCCACAGATGTGTCCTCGTCTGTTGTGTCTTCTTGTGTTTTACTGTGGTTTGAAAGTCTTGCTTCTTCTACATGTGCTTTCTTGTTGTTCCCCCTACCCACCTACAGGAGACCACTGAACAATGGCCAGGAGGGATCGACCAACGGATACAATGTGTATGCCAAATTATAACTTTTCTTGGAATTGTTTTTCCTTTTCACTTTTTGCACTTTGTCATTATCATGGTATTGGCAACTGCAAGCTCATGAGAAAAAATTATAGCATGTACCGGTATGACCTTTGGCTTTTGGGTGGGATTTCATTAGATTCTGAGCCTGAGAAGTGAGTTCCTAAACTCACTCATGGCAGTTATTCTAACAGTTAAAAATTTATGTGCATGTAACATCCACAGACAGGAAAAAACACTCTGTCTTCACCTCAGCTTTGGCGGGGTGGGGATCCAGAGGGTATTTCTGCTGATCAAAAGTCAAGGCTCTGATTGATTGGGATGCCCTCAGGATGTCAGGATGTTGCTTCTGCTTGCAAAGATTTTTTTTCAGGCAGAGTGGTGGGTGCCAACTTCCAGCCTACCCAAAAGAATCTACATGTAGCTTGGCCACATGCAATTGAGATGAATAAAATGAACCCACGCTCGGCCAGTAGCCATGGTGTACATGTACATGCTCTTCAAAATCATAACTGATTCACAGTTTTCTGTAATACTGGTAGGAAATTAACATATTGAGACAAAGCCAGATTAATATCATTGGTAATAAACAATTCACCGGTACCTCAGTGACAAATCTAACCTTTAGCATAAATCATGATTATTACATAAATGTACATGTCTTCAAAACTGTCATACATACATGTATGCACTTGAATGCAGACTAGACTGCATTATTTTCATTTGGCAATCATATGCCTTAGTGATTGAAATACCGCTACGTTTACATGTACATGTATACAGTACTTATGCATGGCTGTACAGATGACGTACATGTACATGTACCTGTGTACACCCACCTCCATCATCGCTACTGACTGGGGTAGGGTTAACATACATGTACACTTGATCTTACTAGAATCGTTGGTGACTTGGACTTGTTACTGGCTGCCTTTTGTATCTCGGTCTAATAACTAATTTTCTTTCCAAACGCTTATTCTTGTGAAGGGTGTGAAGAATGCTGATGTTTGGTGATCCCAAGCAAGTTCACTGCTTTGTAAATTCTTGTGCACATAAAAACTTCCCCATAGACACCATCTTGGTGTAGTGAAGAATTTAAACAGAGTTTATGCAGTAAACTGCTAACTACAATAATGCATGTTGTTCATAAATGAAATGGGATGGCAGATGCTACATGTGCAAATCCTAGTTGGAATCACCCAATGTTTGTGGTTAAAGAACACGCCACAGTGCACTGCCGATCGAAGGCCTTGTGCACTAGTCATCTTATTTTTCCTTTGCTCAAGTGTTAATTATTTTATGCATTTTGCATGACAAGTTGAAAACGTCTTGAAATTAACATTGGGGGAGCAGCCTGTCATCTAAGCATATCCAGACATCACTTATCCCGCTCCAACATGCTGGTGCACATGTACAAGTAATAGGTTGTTTTGCATGCACTCAATGGTCATGCTTGCAGATTGCTGTCCTGACAGAGAACTTTAAAACCTTTTTATCTGCTATGTCTGCCACGTCAATAGAATTTGCAGCAATCATCATGATTATATTGAGAGTCAAATCTTTCAAAATTATCTGCAGTGACTGCACGTGGTCAGTACCATACATGACAAAACCCTGTACATGTAGATGTGTGCCCATGGTGTCTCTACAGTGTATGAAATGTGACACTGTACATTGTAAGGCATCTACATGTGCATGTATGCACTGGCTAATGGTTCAGGATGCAAAATTTGAATCAGATCAATCAGCTGCATGGGCCACAATGCTAAAGCTTCACTTTTGTTGGACTTAAATGCTGCAGTTTCTTTGAAGGGGATTCTGCTTGCTCCCACGAATCTCACCTTCTTCTGGAGATTCTGCACTTTCGGCCAATCGTTTTCAGACCCATCATATTTCAGTGTATCCATGATTGCCTGTCATTGCAGTCACTTCTCTTGGGGAGTAGTTTTGCTTCTCGCAATCCACTGTTGGCCATGGCTTTTGCACGCAGATGCAACCTCCAAGTTAATTTGTGAGGCAGAGCTTAGAAAATGATTGAAGACTTTTCTTGAGAACATGTTTTCACTCTTGGGGAAGAACATGTACATGTACGTTTCTCTTGACCTTCATCTTGCAGAGAACCTTGTCTTTTAGTCTTGGATACTCTTAGCCCGTTTCATATTTTGTTTCTTCTTTTAAACTCAATTCCTTTCACCTTTTTTGCTCAGGTTTTCAGCCTTCATGGATTTTTCAAAATTGCTTCTGCATGCATTGTACTAACACTGTCTTCAATTTTAACCATTTTGCACTGTTTCTAGATTAATTTCTTCATTTTTGTACACATAGGTATGCTTGCATACATGTGTGCGTAAATTTTACACCTCGGCTATATTTAACTTTGCTGCTGCAGTTATTTCAATAGACTGATCCATGAAGTCCCGCCCCATTGTGTTCTGACCAATCACAGCCGTGATTCATGTCCAACTTGCATAAAAGTCTGACATGCTGGAACCTGTAGTGTGGCATTGGAGAAGAGCATGTGCACAGTGGGCGGGGCTTGCTGGATTAGTCTATCAACCATGTTAACAGCTTCTTTGCGCTAAGTTTGAATGGTTTATTGTACTAATGTTGTCATTTCTTTGAAAGCGTTTTGCACATTTTGTACATTGAAAGTTGCAAGTTTTGCTGCCTTTGTTAAATATGCAGCTTTTTTCATACTCTATTTTCAGCATTTTCTGTATGTATTTTACAAATTTATGCTCAGGTACATGTATCCATGTATGTTGTACATAGTTTGATTGTTTTGTACCATTCAACTCTAGAATCTTGTGGGAATATGATAATATGCATACTGGACTAGTTGATGTCACATATGCAAATACATGTAACCTGTTGAGGGAGACTGTCAAGCGTTCAACAACTGATGCTACATGTACCTGCATGTACTTCCACAAAATTTCAACTGATTTGAATGCAAGCTTACTCAAGTCACATTTATCAGTTCTGTTAATCAGTGTTGATTTACACATACACGTAGATGTACAATGTATAATATCCTGCTGGTACATGCACATTGACATGTGTGCTTATCGGTGCGGTTTGGCTGCATAGATATTCACAGTGCACTTCTGTCAAAAACGTGAATGCAGCAGTCACACAGGAAACGAAACAAGGACGTTTGCATGAAACCGGTGTACTGTGACCGATACTGGTACCTGTACACCGTATCTCTTAAATGTCAGAGTCCTGAATAGGGTACGATACATTGGAGGAGGGCGTGATTATTCACTGAATTATAATTGATATCTTAGACACGTTCTAGTGATTGTTTATTAAAGTGTATGGATAGATATGTACTGGTACTTCTGTCTGGGTTACCGTGGTAAAAACGTCACTTGATAAAACTTTCAATGGTTCTGTATTCCCTGAACCCCTTCCCCCTGAAAAGAAACACATACATGTATGCCCCTTGTAGTGAATTAGAGCCGTAAGATCATGGCCCTAACTTTCATAAGTGGATTAAAAACAAAATGTTTATGTAGGAGGGATTACTCTCTGTCGTGCAGTTTGAAGGTAAACAAAATGTACACATATGGAGTGTGTTTCTCATTGAAGCTACATGTACATGTAACAAATATCAAAACATTTGTAAATTCCATTGCCATAGTACATGTATTTGATAAACATTATTTGGCATACATATATGTGATCCACTCTGCGAAAATGAGTCTTAAGTCGCCAGAGATACTTTGGAGTAAAAAGTGTTTCAGAATAATTTTGCACAGTGTAAATCAATAGGAACACACAGCATTTGTCACCATGGAGTATCCACTTTCATCAGGATGCCAAACTGAGTCATACATCAAAACAAAAAACTCAATTTGCTCTTTCTAGTACAAATGAAAACTCAAAAAATGGCTCTGGCGACTTAAGACTCATTTTCACAGAGTGGGTCACATATGTCACCCACAATTCTTCCCTACATTCTTAGCATTTACAAGATAACTGGCAATCAGGTAATCAATTTGTTTCGCAGTCATCTTTTGTGGCACATTTGATTGTCTCCCAAACCATTTAAATCAAACATATCAGGACAACATTGACAAGAAGTCAACATTTTACGGTCTGTTTGAATATTATATGCCCACCCCATTAAAGCTAAAAGGGGTTGGACTAGCTGTAAAACCAATCACCCTTCTCAGCTTATCTGAAATCAAAGTGCTCTTTCAAAGAAAAACACAAGGCGATTCTCATAGTTCTGTTAAAAAAAAAGAGAAACTGAAAATACCCTACATATAATCTGAATAATCATGGATAGACATTATAGTGAATAATTATTAGAAGTCAAGTGGCCGTGGTATTAACCCAATAGCAAATTCCAGCTACATTAGGCATGTTTAGATTTTTACCCGCTTTCACACAACCAGGCACATCTTTGTTATTCATGTATATCCTTTGTCAGATGCACTGAATTATTTAGTACAGGTTGACTGATCAGCTCATTATGTTACAGTAGTTAGAGCTACCACCTAGCTGAATGTCCTCCGTATAAATTTGCATTATTAATAACTCAATTTTCCCCTCAGACTGGCAAAGCAAAGTTCAAGTGCAATTGCTTTGACAGATTGCATCTCTCATCTCAGCCTTGGTGCTGCAGTAATCTGCAATCACCAAATCAAAGCCAAAATAGTTGCCTTGAAGAAGACATAAATATTTCACAGGGATTTGGGTTTCGGGGGGGGTGCTTATATACATTTATCTGGCCTTTGGCCAGCATTTTAATCCGTCAAGTAGATAATCCTTTGACAATTGAGGAAGCTTTTCCATTTTTTTCATCAATAAGAAGTCCTTCCGCATGGACATTTAATAGTGTACTGGCAAAACGGGGGAAAAAAAAACTGGAAAAAATGTTAAGGAATGGTGTGCCAGAATATTTGCGGATGATATTGGGCGCAAGCACTCATCAACCAGTTGATAGGATTTCAGTGCACACTACAGTGCAGTGTACAATTTATTATGAATATTCAAGGTCTCTAGGCACTATTCACTATAAGCAATACATGTACCATCAACCATGCCAGAGTAACGCATTACATAGAAGTGCTAGGCTTGGATGACAGGTAAACACAAGCTGGTTATTGCCTTCAATCAGCACCCACTTGCAGCGCCATATGGTGGCCAGAATCATTAGCATTGGCAAAATCGACTGATATGTTTGATGCACAGTGGAACCAGAAATGTTTGGTCTCTTATGAAATGCTACAAGAAAGAACGAGTGCAATATTACATGCAAATAACTACTACAGTTCGTTAAAGTCATTTCTTTGAATGAAATAGCATGTAAAATCAGAAGTTCGGATCCAGTTGCTACCGTTAGTATTCGCTGCTCATCTCACTTAATCTTTTGTAAGGCTTACACGTCGGTGCCAAAATATGAATGTACATGCAACCAACATTTGAATTAATACTGACACCTGCTCCAAGCCATAGATATGCTGAGAATTGCCAGGATTATTTACTGCAGAATACTCGCATCTACATGTAGGTATTACATGACAACAATTTCATTTCCTACACTACCTCATGAAATGTTATATCACATCAATTGGAATATACTGAGGTAAACTCTAAAACAACATTCATTGTCACCCGCTTGCATTTTTCAATGGACCATATTGTCATTCTCAGCTGATTTGGTCAAGTGTATTGACACATCCATGTAATTCATCAATGAGAACATGACCGACAAAAGGGTGGTATTCAGAAGATTACATTCATCTCCCAGAATTCTCTGACCATGTTAATAATTGTTTCCCCTACGCGCAGATGGACCAGCATGTTTTATGGTGACCATAGCAAAGACAGCAAACCGTCTATCAATGCCGATGGCGAGACAACATCAGGGCAGGTGGAAGAACCACACAACAAAGCACCGGTATAGTGTCATTCAGCAACCCAAATTAGAAACCATTACTGCAGTGGCATAATGCTCATGGACAGGTGTTACTTATGTGCAAGTTGCACGCCCTTCAACCAATAGGGTGTCATAATATGTGTGTCAAGCTGAACAGTGCGCATGTGAGTTTGGTGCCACCACAGTTATGGTATCTCCTTGTATTCATCTATAGTTGTTATAGTCTGTTCCTAGTATTAAGGACCAAGAATCCACTCTGACTACAAGCAGGTGGGATGGATTTCAGTTTGGCTTGCATGCAAAAATTGTGTATTTCAATAGAAATGGGTCACGCTTTCTTGGTGTGTCCTGCACCGTACGAGCATGAACCTGTGCACTCGTGGTATTTTTCCACCAAAGGAGTGTTGCTCCTGTAAACAGGCCACTGGTTGGCTCCCACAGAGTGGATCATTGGCTGTGGTACTGGACCAAGTTCCAGCTCTAAAAACGGAAATGCAATGAAGTTGGAAGAATGGGCAGAGGATTGTCCCAGTCACAGATATGGTGTGTTTAGGGGGAGGGCAAAGTACTAGACAGCAGCCAATAAGCCATTTGCGAGTTAAATTTGAATAGAATCCGGTACACTGAGTTATCTTATTGCACATAAACATAACAATTTGAATTCCCCAGACTAAAGGCACTGTTGCTATACCTCGTGATTCAGGGCAAGCTTTTGCTCAGCGACCGCCATCTCTGGAATGGACTGGTTCCTTTGTGCCCTTCTTTCCCATTGAGAACAGTGTATTGTTGCAAGGCGTCTCTTATGTAACTAAGCAAAAGCTTGCCCCGAATCATGAGGTATAGCAACAGTTTTTTCTTTTCCCCATTTTTTTTTTTCACCTTTTTTTTTTGTCTGTGTGATACTCATGGGCGTGTCCCAGTTGTAGACATGGCAGCAAATCCTAGGAAGATTCTCTGGGGAAACCATAGAATCGGGGCCCACTTTGATAGAGCTTCCACGCCTCAGAATCAAAAGCTCTCGTTGTGCCAAGTCGCTTTTGGACTGGTTGGTCAAGCCAGATGTTTTACATCAAATCAGCAACTTAATGTGCTGATGAACAGCATTGTAAAATGCCACGGATAGGCCAGGCATACATAGAGTTCTACTGTGCCCACCCACAGAAGGGATTATGCATTATCTGTTCTGCTCTAATGAGATGACAGCAAAGCTTGACTTTGTTACATTTAATATTTGGTAAGAATTATTAATAATCAGAACTGATCTACTTCTCTGTGTAAATGTAACCAGAGAACTGGGAAAACGTGAAGTTAATGTCAAAGCGATGTGATATAATTTATTTCCTGGCACTGCTAAATGACAGCCTGGACCCTTTTCTTTTCTCCTTGTAGGGTTTTCTTGACTGGCTTCCGGCTATGTTCAAAATCAAGTAAGTGCTGGCTTCACATGTTAGTTCCATCAAAAAAAATATTCATTGACTTTGAATATTATTTTGGCTGTCCTAGTCTTTTCAAACCAGTTCATGTTAATCAAGTCAGTGATGGACACACTTTTAATTTTTGTATGTATATAAAATTGTGTATTTATGTTATTATTATTTTTATTTCTGGTAATGACACCAAGACTTCCTCAAAAGTGCCCCAGGCTCTGTAGCTAACAAGCCTGAAGAAACCTGTAGAGAGGAGACAGTGAGAAGCAGTTACAGTGTTTGGGAGGAAAACCCCAGAGGAATATTCTGGGTGAAACCTACAGAATCAGGTGGACCAAGCCGGGAATCGGACCCGGACTGCAGAGGTGGAAGGCAAGGATAGAACCACTTCGCCAACCTGAAACAGCTTCAACTTTTCTTATCTTGTTTTCAAGCTTTTTAATATACACAAATGTGACATTCTATGTGCCTGTTGATTCTTGGTTCTGGTGTTAAAATCTGTCGCTGAAAACAATATCAGACTTCATGAAGTTGCATCGCTTTCGTCTTGAATCATTTTCTGTTTCTGTAATAACAGGGACGAGGACATCAGGTTGAAATCTGGTGTGGATGCAGTGCAGTATCTGCAGTTCCAACGTTATCTGATCATACTGATCATCATCCTGTGTGTACTGTCCATTGGCGTCATCTTACCTGTCAACTTCAGTGGAAGCCAGGAACTCGGACCTGAGAATTTTGGTCGTACCACCATCAGTAATATACCAACAAAGTGAGTGGAATGTTTCCTTGTTGTTTGTGTATCCAATAATACAACTTCAGTCGAACCTTGAAAATAAGAGCATTGCTAATACATGTGCATCGTTCAGTATATAAGAAGGAAATTTACGAGGTCCTGATCCGTTCTTCATTCTTGATAGTACAAAGTTCCTGTTACAAGGTAATCTGCAGTGTCTGAGGAACGTCTTATTAGTGAAGTTCAACTATAACTTTTCCTCAACATCAATGTTAGGATGATACAAGCAAGATAGCCTGAACTATAAAATTCAACTTTACATATCTTGAAGTGTTACATGCATGTCTAGCTTTTGATTGAATTAAAGTCAGTGTGTTAACTCCAGACTGGCGTAGCCTACCCAGTTCCAACACCTCGTGGATGAACCTTACTGTTGATTTCTTCCGTACCTTTGTACTTTGTTTTTGCAGTTCAGATAAGCTCTGGGTGCACACCATCTTCTGTATGCTGTTCTTTTTGATAACTGTGGGTGCTATGAGGCACTTTTCCACCCATTTACCGTATAGAGAGGAGACTGATAATGTGAGTATCTTAAACATTGCAAGGGCTCTAACAATAGATGTCTAGAATGTCAGTATGGAGAATGTGACACATGCTTGAAATTGCCAACATGTCCAGATGTTAAAAGCTGTCTCCAGTCTTGAGTTTCAACTGTACTGTTTTGAAGTGGAATTATTAAGTTACTCCCAGATGAATGTGCCATGTATACCTAGGGAAACTCTGTCTACATGTATGTACACTACCTTTAAGCAGGAGGTCTAGTTTATTTATCATGGACATAGAAATATGCATGAACGCAAGTAGACATCGTGGCAGTGGTATCTTTTCCAATAGAAATTTGTGACATTGGATGCATCTGAAGCATGGATATTTTCTGTTGACAGTACAGTTTGCTTCATTTCATGCTCACGAATGAAGCAAAATCATGTTTATACTGTACCTATCTGTTCAAACAATGACCAGCTGTAGAAGTCCCCTGCATTTGCTTTTTCTCCAGATATCCAGTACGCTCTTCGTCACTGGCATACCATTGGAGAGGACAGATGCGTCTCTCATAAAGCAGCATTTTCAGTAAGTCTCCCTCAAATGTCCCATGCCTGCACTTCTCAAAGCATTCACATGCATAAAACATGGTCCTAGTTTACATACGAAGAAATATTTCTTCGTGTGTTGACTAGGACCGTGTGTGGACAATTTTTTCCCCGTTTTCCCAGCATGTTTGTTCATGTTTCATGTGTTTTGCTTTGAAGAAATTCATGGTAATGAAAGTCTGTATACTTTGATATTTTGAATAACAGGGAAGCATATCCGGATGTCACTGTCCTGGATGTGCAGTTTGCCTACGACATTGCCAAACTCAAAAAACTGGACTTACAGAGGTAATGGGAACCATGAGAAATGGTGTAGGTACGAGGTACAAATCTGGCTTAGAAAAACTAGTTGGTTGCATCACCCACCTTATGGGTTTCTGTCAAGAAACCTATTCATGTGTATGTACTGGTAAGCATATTGATGTGTTGTGCACACTCTTTCTGATGAAGAAAACATGCAAACTGGTGATTGAACAAGCAACTTTTCATGAGATGCATAGTCACCCAGTGTATGTACCATTTACCATGTACCAGACACATAGACGTAGATTTGACGTTTTGAAAAAGCACCCTTTGTGTTCTTAACTGCCATCTGGCTATCTGTACAGGTATACAGCACATGAACTCATCTCCGGTTAGTATTTCAACAAGCTAATCCCCCATTGTTTTGTACATACACAAAATCCAAAAAGCCTTTGGAGGCAAACCATGTGTTGAACTTAGCTGCACTGCACTGCCTGTCGTGTTAAAATGATTGCTCTCAGGGTGTGCACCAGAGTGTTAAAAATACGAGGTTGTGGTAAGAATCGAAATATAGAGTACCGAAGTGAATACGTCACGCGCACAATTAATGTGTAAAAGGCATTAACGCGAGAACCAGCACGTGAACCAACACGCGCGCGTACTCCATTCGTTTGCACTGCACTTTCTTGTTCACAGTGATGTCACACTTCGGTACTCTATTATGCAGACTGTTGAAATGACTCTTGTGAATCAGTATTTGTTGCATTTGGTCGTCCAAAAGTCTGTCTAAAGGTGGATGCTGTATCTTGTCCTTTTTGGTCAAGATTTTGGCAAAAAAAAAAGGTGCACTCAGTATTCCTGCCGATATTTACACTGTGAAGAACACCGCTGTGTGGTTTGATTGTTTTATGAACTTTTTATTAGTAAGGTTTATGTTAAAAATTGAATCGTATTTCTTTTATTTTTCTGTGGGTTTATGCTGTGTAACGTACAAATAATTTTTTTTGGGGGGGGGGAATTTTGCCAACACTTGACCCTATCTTGGAACCAAGATTATCTGTTCATTACATGCAGACGTGACGCAAGACTGAACCGACTACATTGTGAGGGCATTTATTCCAAGACAGGTGAAAGACCCAAACTGAGACAAGGCACCTGTGGACAGATCGGCTGCTGTGATTGTTGTGGAGGTCCCAAGGTATCCCAAACAACTTTCAAACGTACATGTAGTGTGCTTTCCTGGCTGTGTACTTTGCTATTTTAAAGCTTGTGAGAAAACCCAAAGAAAATTTAATGCAAAACTTGGTAATGGAGTGGTTGAGTTGCACTAGTATCCTTGAGATCACTTGCTCAGATCTCACCTGAGCCACTTTTTGAAATTTGCCTCACATTCTTGAGAGCCTTCACAGCAAGGAGCATCCTAATGATTCCACGGTGAATGGAAAAACTTGCATTAGTGGTTTTCTTGGTTGCCTTCGTTCCCTTTAATTCTTCCCTTTTCCCTCCTTATGACATCCAAATTGTCAAAGTACTGAAATTGAAAACCAAGTGTTCCTTGCAAAGTCTTAATCTTCATCCAATATCCAATATTTTTCTCCCATGATCCAAATATCCATTTAGCTATCCTCCACAGGGCCGTATCACTAACAACTCTCTATTTTCCCCAGGTGGATGCCATCGATTACTATAGCAACCGTGAGGAGGACCTAACAAGGCAAGTCATGGAGGAGAAGGGTCATGCCCTTAAGAGCAACCTGGGCATGGCCTTCGTTACAGTTCAAAATGAGCTCATGGCTGGCAGGTAAATATTTCCACTGTTTAATCTTGAACTTTCTATTCATATTGTTGTTGCAGTCCTCAGACAGCCTGCATATTTTCTCAGTTGTTGTGGTTTTGGTATTGCTTTACGTATTGTAGGTTTCAGTAGGTTTAGCAAGTTTCACTCCTCAGGTGTCATGTCTCTTCATGTGAACTCGGTGTGATACATGATGCATGACCCGCTCACTTCCCAGAGTTACTGAAGTATACAGCACATACATGCACTTGCTCCGGAAGATATATAGAACTTACCACATATATTTGTAGTTATTCAAGGCATTCATAAACAACGTGATCTCATGCCACTATCACAAAACTATATGAATTGGCATAACTTTAATAACTAATAGTTACGTTTGCTCCGTAAGTTACACCATAAACTGTGACACTGTGTGCCTTTGGCCTGTGCATCAAATTATTGAGTACTCCATATGGTCATTTTAGCATGTGGCATAACTTACCCGAAATAAATTCCAAATTGACAATGTTTTGGTCATTTTAGTATGTGGCGTAAGTTGCCCAAAATAAATTTCAAATTTCCTAAATTTTGCAGGATTGTCAACGACTATGCAACACTGAAGACTGGGCCTCCCACAGTATCCAGTGTCAGTAAGCAACTTCATTCCACCGTATGGAGCGTCCACTTTGCCCCCAAGCCTGATGACATTGTCTGGTATGAATAACTTGGTCTTACAGTTACCCTTACAAATAGCCAACCCAAGAAAGAGATGGTGGCAGTCATTTTCAACCGTTAGCTAACAAGTTTGGAATTGATTATCAATTTTGAGTGTTAATAGATATTGCTGCCCTCTGCATAGATTCAACATGGTACATGTACGTAAGGGTGTGTCTTACTCGTTTGTCTGTCGCTGTAGCAAAACATCTTCCTGTTGAAGCCTCTGTCTTGCAGGTGCAGCCATTTTCCATAGTTCCATGTGTGTTACTTCCAGTTGTAGTAAAGTGATGTGGGCACAGGCAAAGTTTCAACTGAATGTGTACAAATGTAGCATTTTGAAAGTGTAGGAGTGCACTTGAGAATGGGCACAAATTTTCTGAGTTGTTTGTCAGGTTTTTTCTTTTGTATTACCAAGGGCATGCTAATGCACAGGTCCACATTGAAGTACATTGTACCTGAATATGCTTCCGGATTAACACTTAATAACAAGTGGTGCTGTTTCGGAGCCCAAGTCCCTGTTATCTAGTGTTCTGGAATATTAGGTGATAGGAATTGACCCTAAGTCTCCCGGGGTACTTGGCTAGAAACCCTACCAGACACATTAGACTCCATCGTTTGTCAGAGTGGATTGTCTGCCCAGTGTAGCAAGGTCAACTCTCCTTAAGGCCAAACAGGGTGGGAGCCTATGACTGCCAGTTACCACAAGATCCGACAGTGGCATTGTTCAATGGGACTAGCTCCCATTGTCTCAACATGGCCAGTTTGTTTGGCTGCTGTTGATTGCCAGGTGCATTAAACTGTACCAGACTTTTTCACCTGATGCACTGTGCTGCATTTGGCAGGGTTAGGGTTAAGGAAGGCTGTGTTGACTGAATACTTTGAGTAGGAATATGTTCTGGTCATTTTGCAAATACAGCAAACTTTGCATAATACCTGTTTGTTCATATACTCAGTTTCATTTATAATCAAACCCTTAGGTCTCAGAAATGACTTGCTGAGTTTTATAGACTCACTTTTTAAGCTGTTCAGAGTACTCGCATGACTTTAATATCATGCATGATTTGCATTTCATTCTTCACGTTTCCATCCTCCGATAGGGAGAATTTGTCTGTTGGACCATTGCTGTGGTGGGGGAGTGTCATCTTCGTCAACATTGGTGAGAAGCCATCCATAGTGTACTTTGCTCATTGATCTTAACCCGCCTGGGTTTTTGGCTAGAAACCCTGCCAGGTGCAAAAGTTTCACTTCATTTGTCAAAGTCTGTTGCTTGCAGAGTGCCTCAGATCCAGCAGGTACATGTACATGTACAGGTGTACATGTAAATTATCGCAGGGCCAAAATGCCCAGTGCAAAAAAAGCACCAGACTGTAACACCTGTTGCACTTTTACTGCATTTCACAGGTTAGGTTAAGCATCGTTAAACAGTCACCAGACGTTCACATTTAGCAGCAGAAAACTTCCGTTCTCAAAGTACTGTGTATTCATGACCAAGTGGGATGATTAGTAGGTGGTGAGATAAGAATTGCTCCCATCCCGACCATCTGCAAATTTTGTCTTGGCAACTTTGCCAAATGCAAGAAAATTGCAAGTACTGTGTGCACTATAAAATGTAAAATGCCAGCCATGGTACATTGCTGCTCCTTCCTGTTTTTTGCTGAATCCTGCAATATACGGAAATTCTTTTAACCACTGTTGCATTTTGCTAGTTGGCAACAGACAGGGAGACCAATAAGGCATCGACATTCCTTGATTTCCATCTTTGATGTTCCATAGAGAATTTGCTGCCAGTTCGAATTACACATTTCTCTACATGTGACCGTCCAAACATTTTTACTGTGCTAAATATAGTTTGGTCCAGATGGAGACCAGTGTGAAAACCTGTTTACATTACGAAGAGAATGGAAGTTGAGAACAGTCCTGCTATATGTACATAACATGTACATGTATAATCAAAAGCGATTTCATTCTCATCCGCAGCCTTATTTATTCTATTGTTCTTCCTGACAACACCATCTGTCATCATGACTAGTCCCGTTGGAAGCAAAAACATAGAAGAAGCAGTCAAAGATGTTAAGGTGAGCCTCAAGCTAATAGCGTGTCCCAGTACCGTTCTGAGGTGCCTAGTTGAAATTGGGGGACCGTGGCACAGACAGTCATTCAAAAACTGCATACATGTGTCACTGGTACTGTCACAAGTTTGCGCATGTCAAAGTGGAAAAATAGGATACTTTGTTTCATTTTGTGACACGATTTCCTCTTCATGAAAGAGGTGACGATTTTGTCAAAGCACTGTGTCGTTTGCCTAAAATGGTCCGGCAGAGAATACTGTTGAGCGGAATGGAAGGAGCATCTAATGGGAAGCATGCCCCTTTGTCCTATTGCATTTTGTCTCTTTTGTCCCACAACTGCTAATATAAGTTCTTCGTTAATCATGTCTGTACTTTGAAGCAGAAGGAAGAATGAAGCATTGGCCAGCTCTTGAGATTGAGATCTCAAACCTAACGCCATCCTCATACACAGTTTTAGTCCCTGTCTTACCACCTACATGTACATGTGTATTGTGAACTGAGGTCTGCAGTCCACCTTGTTTACCCATAGACATCTGAGGGAAAAACCTGGACTGAACATGTCATAAAACAGTTGTTTTTACATGAAATGCATGTACATGTATCGTAGGCTGACAAAATGCATACATGCAAAACACTCAGAGGGTAAATCAGATTTGCTTGTTCTCTGTAGCTCAGAACCTGTTAATAGTAATATTTCTGACCCTGACCCATCAACGTAAATACCTTAAAATACCAAGAGGAGTATTTACACATGTGGACTTCAGTTTTGCTTCAGGTGCACTGTGAATGGGACCTGACCAGTCCAGATGTTGTGTAGAGGAGATTCAACATGAACTTTTTCAAGTATAATATAAATTTTGCCCTTTCTTTTTGCCTCTTCAGTCTCCCTTCATCTCTCAATTCTTGCCCACCATTCTGTTGTGGACCTTTGCTGCTCTGCTCCCAATCCTGGTCATCTACTCCAGCTACTATTGTGAGTTCCACTGGACCCGTACCAAGCTCAACCACACCATCATGCGCAAGACTTTCATCTTCCTGATACTGATGGTGCTTGTGCTGCCCTCGCTTGGCCTGGCTAGGTGAGTTATCTCTACCACTTTAATGTACGCATATAAATCCGGGATGTGTTAGTATCCTGACATTGTGATTTCATTGTATTTTCCTTGACACAGTTTGCCTTCGATCTTTTTTGGGTTTAAAGGGTTTGACACAGTTCCCTTCGATCTTTTTTGGGTTTAGAGGGTTTGACACAGTTTCCCTTTGATCTGTTTTTGGTTTAGAGGGTTTGACACAGTTTCCCTTTGATCTGTTTTTGGTTTAGAGGGTTTGACACAGTTTCCCTTTGATCTTTTTTTGGTTTAGAGGGTTTGACACAGTTTCCCTTTGATCTTTTTTTGGTTTAGAGGGTTTGACACAGTTTCCCTTTGATCTTTTTTTGGTTTAGAGGGTTTGACACAGTTTCCCTTTGATCTGTTTTTGGTTTAGAGGGTTTGACACAGTTTCCCTTCGATCTGTTTTTGGTTTAGAGGGTTTGACACAGTTTCCCTTCGATCTTTTTTTGGTTTAGAGGGTTTGACACAGTTCCCTTCGATCTTTTTTTGGTTTAGAGGGTTTGACACAGTTTCCCTTTGATCTGTTTTTGGTTTAGAGGGTTTGACACAGTTTCCCTTTGATCTGTTTTTGTTTTAGAGGGTTTAACACAGTTTCCCTTTGATCTGTTTTTGTTTTAGAGGGTTTAACACAGTTTCCCTTTGATCTGTTTTTGGTTTAGAGGGTTTGACACAGTTTCCCTTTGATCTGTTTTTGGTTTAGAGGGTTTGACACAGTTTCCTTTTGATATGTTTTTGGTTAACAATAAAAATGACTGAAATAGCATTTTGAACTGTGACCTGTTTGCCATACTTGTTGTCACTTAACTGAACTGCATCCATACCCAGCTTATGTCAGCCAGGCTTTTTGAAGAGATCTGTGCCAACACTTACATCAAACCCAGTCACTGGTTATGCCCTCTCTTAGTGATCCCCTGCTGCCATTCATCACAATTCCTTGTATTGTGACTTTTGGAGTGATCCTTGGCTATATGGAATTCCGCTCTTTTGACTGGTCTTGTGACTAGTCTTGGGACTGGTTTTGTGTTTGATGTCTTGTCTTGTCATGGCCTCAGCTACAACGCTGGTAGCCTGAGGGTCCACCAGATTTAGCTTTGGGCAAGTTCAATGGACAAATAGTCAACCAATGGTTGATTTTAACTGGTAACCGATGCGTTAAATATGTAGTATATTGGGCATCAGGGAAAATCAATCAGTGGTTAACAAATTGCTGCTATCAAACTTGCCTTTTATTGTCCACTGTACGTGAAAAATGGCCACCAAGCCTTAAAATCTGGCTGCAAAGTTTAAAACATGGGGTGTTCTATTTACGTCATGGAATATTTTTCTTTACAGCACAGTATCTTGTAGGCTGTTCCTTCAAATTTTATGGCAAACAAGATTTACACGTATCTCATTGTCCTGATGCCCAGAAATTCACTTTACCTGATCTCAAGACATGTGAAGGGGTCCTTGTGTGTATCTTGGACCCTATGGTCTGTCTTCGCCCTGTCCTCCTTCCCGGTATTTTTATTATGACTTCTGACCAAGTTTAGTGTTTGAAACTAGGAGAACACCATGTCCCTGTGCTCAGTTCTAGCTTGCCCTCAACACTACACGTTGTCCCATCCCCTGTTTTGTAAATGTCTTCTTTCATGTAGGCCATGTTCTTTCCTGATCTTGTTTGGAATCCTTTCTGTAGCTGTAAACGTGTGTTTCATGTTTTCATTTTGTGTTTCATGTTTTCATTTTGGGTATATGTTTCATCCAGTCAGAAAGGCACTAAATGTGGTATTGGTGTGTGGACCATTGAGTAATAATTTTTGAAAGCTCATTTCTCTATTTCCTTGTTAATGATTTCTCGATAGTGTTCTTGTTATTAAAGTTTAGACTTGGATAACAATTGATATTGATGTGTTGTAGACTATGGGGAGTGTTGGTCATTGTAATCAATTGTTATGTACTAATCCCTTCTTTGGTTTTGGTGTTTTGATGTGTGTGTTGACTTTTTAACACCCAGTGCACAAGCATTGTTTGAATACTGGATCCAAGCAAGCACCAAAGATGTATCCATACGTTGGGGGTAAGTCAAAAAAAGTTCCAAATTCCCGTCAAAGTTATGTAACCGTCAGTGTTTTTTGTTTCTCTATCGTCCAACCACAATTCAGTGCCCAGGCTTTGTTTGAATATTGGCTGAACTCTGCTGAACAGATCAAGATGAGATGGGGGTAAGTCGGGGGTAAACAGTGACCCCTTGCTGGGTGCACTTTGACCCCGTGTCATCATTCCGTTCCTGCAAGCTGACACCATTAAATCTCATGCTTTTTAACAGTGTGACCATCTCATCCTTATCCGTTTTCTTGTGGCACAGCATCTTGAATTCTGATAAAAAAGGTTGAATTTGTTGAGCAAAGCCAAGGATAGAGTTGCAACAGTGAGTGGAATGCTGTAAATCTGGACACAAGATGTATGCATGGGCATTGTGGAGTCGGCCATTTTGTGTCCATATTCAATGATGCCCATTGTTGCAGTCCTTTAGTGTTGGCTTTTGCTGTTGTGGCATCTGAAGTACCTTTGACTGAGTTGAGAAAGTGGCGGTCAAGGAATTACTTTTAATGAACTTCTGAAAATTCAGTAAAAATATGCATATAATACATGGACATACATACTCATGATACATGTACCAGTAGGTACAAAAATGTAGAAAACAGTTCAGAGACAGGAGTTTGTACACTGGAAAATGAGTTTTGCTGCCACTTTCTAACTAAGATCACAAGAGGGCACTCCATGGCAATGTCATTCATGGGCGAGTTCGAATGATGGACCATTTGTCAACCACTTGTTGATTTTTCCTGATACTCAGGAAAATCCGCCAGTGGTCAACAGATGTTGTCGCTCGAACTTGCCACAAGATGAACTTTAATTTTGTTCTCTTTTTGAGTTACTAACTTTTGAGGTCTTAGGTTTCTCCTCTGGGAAAGTGTCTCCTGTGGAAACTTATTCTTGTAGACTTCAAACCCTCTAAAGGATAGTCATTCAAAATTTCTCATTACTTTTGGATTGTGAGTTTTTGAGTTTATTCTTGGTTCTTTTCAGGGTATCTCTAAAAATTGGCAAATATGTGGTATTTTATCTTTACCGATAATTTTGCAAATGACTTCTCTTTTAGTCAGGGTGAGAATAAACAGACCCATTCTTCGGTGGTGTTTCCTAAGGCATGGGAATTCCTTTTGTCAGATCAGACAAATTGACACTCTTCAACTTGAAAATCTCTGTCTGATTTTCCCTCCAATTTTGATATCTCTCTTGATTTTTGTGATAGTCACCACATTAGAGTAGAATACATCATGCATGATTGTTTAATTTTTCCTTTTAAATTTAACTTCTAAATCAGAAATAACAAGTTGATTCTTCACGGCCCACCTAATGAGAATGCTATATGCAGAGGCAGTAGTTGCCAGCATTTCAACATATATGTAACTCTGATACAACATTGTGGTAGTCAGCAGTTAGACCCTGAAAAGAATCCAAAGTGATTTCCTTATAAATGTAAAACAGACCCATCATGTTCATAATTTTTGTTTCACGTTTTCCTATTTTGCCTTTATTGGGCGCTGCATCACCAGTGTCACTCAGCAGTTGTTTCATTTGAACTCAGCTAGCTCAATATAATTTGCGAACATTCCATCTGACTCCGCATTTGCACTCGTTTGCTCATATCAACTAACTCTGTTGATTCTTAATTAAAGACTTTTATATTGCACTAGCTAGTGAGAGTGGCCATGTTACTTTGTATACTGGTATAATGAATCATTCTTAATGCTGGGGGATGTGCGGTTATCAAATACATGTTGATAGATCCTGTTGGTTTATAGTAGTATTTGCCTAGCTTTTTGATGCAGACATTCAATACCAGTCATTTCATTAATCCCTGTAGCACGCTCTTCACAGTAACCAAGCATCAGATAATTCAAGCTCATTCTACATGTATCATGTCTCTAAACCTGCTGAGAATTCTTTTCGCTTGGAGTAATAATTTAACCCAAACGCGACAAGCAACTCTTTCATATCAAGCTGTATTGCTTGGTTACAGAAATATGGCAAAATGAAAACTTCATGTAGCAAATCCAGTAGGAACCATTAACGTTAAATGGTTGATTTGTCTCCAGTTGTAAAGCTAAGATGAAATTTTGTTAACAGACTGCAAGTCGTACACGTGTAGATCAGTGCTATATGTCTTTGCCGGTGTATGATGCCCTTAATAGATACATTAACAGAAATGACTTTTTAAAATGCAGTAGAAGTAATCTACTGTTCATGTACCTAATGTGAGTATACTGACATAACTGTATACATGTAAACCCAATACAAGGATGTGCTAGCATTTTTTATGTACATGTATGAGTACATTTTTAAAATTTAAATAATTTCTCTCCTACTAGAAGGATTAACAGTCTTATTCCACACTAGCAGAGTTTTGTTGGACCGTGTGACCATGTAGCACATGTTGTTGAAGGGGGGGTCACATGTACATTTACATGTTTGCAAACCTCTGACATCTTCACACACTAACCTTCGATAGTTGCTTTTAGACGGTGGTAATAAGGTAAACTCACTAGTTGCTTGAGCATTTTTATATACAGCAGCAATATGGACGTGGTTTTGTTTTGGATCTGGGTAGTTGACTGTAGACTTTTCCAGTGACAAACTTGCTGATTTTCTTCCTCCTGATACTGTTAGCTGCATCTTCCTGCCAGAGAATGGCGCTTTCTTTGTCAACTACGTCATCACTTCGGCATTCATCGGGACAGCTCTGGAGCTGATCCGGTTCCCTGAACTCTTCCTGTATGGCATTACCATGCTGTGGACAAGGTCCAAGGCTGAGAAGATCACCAAGAGAAGTGTAAGGGAGTCAGGATTGCTGTCTTTCCCTCAGGACTAGTGATTGTAATGCCACCAGTAGTTCGGCTAACAAAGTTCATTTGAGCCAAGTATTACTGCAGAGCCATTGGCCTCCTGATTCTGTAGCACAACATTCTTGAATCAGGATTTATGGATGCTTTGATCCACCCATAGAACGGACACATCAGAATCTACAAACAGAAAGCTGAGTGTTGTCTCCTGCTAATTATCTTGGCCTCATTATGTAGTTGATTATTTCTTGTGTTAGTTCATGGTACACTCCTTGATATCATGACAGTTTATTCGATAAGTTTGCAGTGTTCTAGTCATAGTTTTACTAGGAATCTTTTTCTGTTTCTGTGCCAAAATGTACAAACACCTAGAAGGTCGTTGATGTAGGATGAATCAATTCCAGTCATTTGTGTTTCTGTTTGTATGATTTCTTTGAATACTTCCATTTGATACAGAGGCTAGCATATGAGTTTCAGTATGGTGTCCAGTACGCCTGGGTCCTCACTACGTTCTCCATTATTCTGGTCTACAGTATCACCTGTCCACTTGTTACACCTGTGGGTAAGTCAGTTTAGTACTTTCCTGTCTTGCTTTTTTTAGGTTACAGGTGATGAACGATAGCCACAGTACACAGGTAAAAATGCCAAATCCAGTATTGGCCTAAAATGACTAATGTTGGTGTCTGGAAAAAAGTGTTGTAGTCCAGAATAGACACTCTGACACCAAGACTTGGTCCTGGTTCCGAGACTGAGACCAAAACTCGCAAAGTCAAGACCAAGACCGCCGAAGACCAAGACCTTAAGTCCAGAATAACATAATTGCAGTAATCAAAATGCACACAAAAAATTCCATTTTATTTAATTTTTATGTATGCTACATTAGCTTTTTCACCAACCCAAACAATGCAGGAAAGTTACCTCTTGTTTTCAAGTAGTTTAAATCACATGTAATGTATGTACATACACATGGAATAAAATGAGTTGACCTTTGAATTGCAATGAAATTGCAGCTTGTCCAATTGTAACAGTAATAACAATGGATGAGTGTAATGTTATCGATTACAGGCACAAACTTGCCATATATTGCTTGTCTCAACCTGAGACCAGCAGAAATACTGAGACAGCTATGTGGGTACTGAGACGAAGACTGAGACCAGCAAAGATGGTCTGGAGACCAGTCTCGAGACCAAATGCGAAAAATTATCAGACCAAGTCTTGCAAAGTTTCTTGTTAAAGTTTCTCCTACTGTCTTCATGTATTTTAAATCACGTAGACATATACTATATACTATATACATATACTATACACGTATATGACAAAAAACCTGTCTCAAGACATACATGTACATTACTGCTGAAGAAACAAGTAAAGCTAAAACATTTTGGTAACCATGATAGATGCACCTGTCTTTCTGTACTGTTTTTGCCCATTATACCAATAGTTTACCACAGCTTAAATTGGTCACGTCATTATCCCAATAATGTACATGTACCTGTTACTTGCCTAAAAAGTGGCATTGTAAGAATATGCTGACGTTTGAAATGCTCAAAGCTCAGTTGTTTACTGATAAGTTAGATAATTTTTTTTGTCCCTGTATTTGAAAATTAAAATACAGTCAAGAGAAAACAAAAGCACTATTTTATATGAGAGTAGTTTTTGGGTTTTTGTTTGTCATAAATATTTACTGGTAAATATTGTACATGTACATGCACATTGGATAAAATCTCCCTCTCGCAGTTCCTTACCAGTACAAGTAGTTCTGCCTTATTCACTATGAGCATCACCTGACAGCACGTTCATGTGCATGTACATTACATTGTACAGCCAGTGAGGGATTATCACTGGTACAAATATTGCATCTTATATAGGCTTGTCTGTCTCCCCGGGTTGCTGTAATTATCTCCCAGCAATGATTTATCGTGCCCCCGCAATGACCAGAGGGTAATGATGTGTTGGCGCCAGGGTCTTGGCCGGTTGCTAGGATATGTTGCTTCATAGAAGAAATCCCCAGATTATCTCCCGTGTCATCAAGGATGTGTCATCACCGTAAGGAGGTGGTGCGTTCGCGGGACAGCATCTTCAACAAGAACCAAGCATCTCGTGTGTGCTGCATGAGGAATCTGTGATGCCTTGCTTTAAGCTTGCCGCTGATTACGTTAAAACACTCCTAATCAGATTAAATCATAAAAGTCTTTTTTTTTCTGTGCTGGTAACGACGTGCGCGAAGGAAGCATGTACATTGTAGACATGTGAGATATGTGATAAGGTTATAGTCACAGTGCTAATTGATGTAAAGCAATTTTGTGCCTTTAATAGCCTGCATGCCTGCGTAGAGTATTACATAAACACAAGTTAATCATGGCTAATAGAAGGAAAAATGCACTGTTCATTTGGAGGCGTGTAGAGAGTTCAGCTGACCCTCCTTGCATCTCTATCCAGTGCCCAGACTGCACATACATGTATCAGGCATCTAAGATGATTGAGGGTACTTCATAACAACACCTTGCTTGTGTCCCAAATTGATCATAATCAAAACCGAAGTCTTCAGGGTGGTATGGTAGCATTAGCTTTGCTGTCCGTTGCTTTTTTCAGCAGTGGCAATTTAATCAAATTTGAATGTGCACTTTGAAGATAGTGACTGTTTCTTTGTCAGTGAAAATTTTGGAATCGGTTATAGTAGGCGGTACAAAAGTCTCCTGAACTGTTGCAGGTTCTGTTTTGTGGAATGGTCTGTGCACTTTCTTGTCTTACTGGGTGTTTATTATACTGTACATGTACATGTATTTTTAACCTTAACAGCCCTGAATCCTCCAATTTTAATATGATTTTGCACACACCCTAGGGAGTTAGGGTTAAAAATGATTCACATTCATTCTGAAATAGTGGTGCCCCCCCCATTTTCACATGGAAACATTTTGTGGTTAATATACATATTCTGCTTAGTTTGCAAGATCTTAGTGTCTATCAGGGTATATGGTGCAAAACACAGTCTAGGAGACCAGTCCTGTTAACAATGATGTGTCCCCAATGCAGGTTTTCAAAACCACACAAATTGTGCACATGTGAATCAGGATGGAGGCTGTAATTTAAGTGAAACAATAGACCACTGCATGCAAATGGAGTAAAATCTACGTACAGGTGCTGCCAGTTATAACATTGAAATGGGCATTGATTTTTTTGGTTTAAAAATGGGAGTCAATGTGTAGTTTCAATCCAGTTTTCGCCCCTTGCTGAAACACATAAAGAACAGGTTTTGGGTTGCTAAAGACTGAGCCAAAAATGTAAAACCATGGAGGAAAACCTGGCTAACGGGATGGTAACTTATTAGCCCCTGTTTTCTTTGTCTTTCTGTCATGCCGGTACATACAATTTTCTAAATTTTTTTTTCTGGGGGACGAGAGAGGAGGAAGGGGAAATTCAAGACAGGCAATCAAAGGAGAACCCGTATCACATGACTGATTTGTCATGGATTCACATGCTGCAGTATGTATTAACCCATGTCAGTGTACGTTCATCATCATTAAACATGTCCGGGGGCGATATAAATCGGTTGAAAGCAGGAAAAATCAAATACGAAAATGGAGTGGGAAATGAATTTCTCACCCCTGCGGATGGAGGCACACATGCATGACATGAGGGAATATTGGGACTGTAACAGGAGTGCGGTATCACCTTTTTTTGATTTATGGCGCCGCAGTTTTTCTTGAACACTTTCGGCTGGTCCCAAGATACTGTTAGAAGTGTCCAGGTTAAATGAAACGTGCCAGAGAGGTTCTTCATCTGGATTCACTCTGAAGACGTTGATATCTTCCGTAGGAGGTGTCTGGGTCATTCTTTGGATTACAGCCAAGGTGTTTCTGTTTCCAGCAGAGTTGGCAATTCATTTCTATCAAGATTTTGCTGCACAGAATAATCAGATCACTTTCTAGCCGGTTTTACAGCGCTCTAGGAGAAGTGGCTACTGATACAATACTGCAAAGGGATTTGTAAGAAAATGAACTCAACAGGGATCAGACTTTTTGAGAAAAGAAATTATTTGAAGGTGGGCTTTTAAAAACACCAAGCTGACTACGTGTAGTTGTGGATTTGGTGCCAGCAGTCTGCTAACAGAGCCCTCTGTTGTCCTGTGTTTTCAGTCTCTGTGTTGCCAGAATTGTCGTGGGACCTTGTTAGAAACCATGAAATTAAACATGTTGAGTCACAAAAGATTTCTTGAAGGTTGTCAATAACTTGTTCAAAGTGCTTTTTTACACTTGCAGTGATGGATAATTTAAAAGCATCATTTATTAGACTTTATTCCACCGTTTTCCTCAAATTAGTTTCTGCAAGGGGAGGGAGCTTCAAGGGGCAGGCTGGAGCTTCGACTATCTAACCCCAACTTCTTGACAGTTTCTCTTCCTGGCAAATTTTTACATAAATGTAATTGCACCGATGTTCACGCAGTTTTGTAGTGATGTGACAACTACACGTAATTGTGTAGTGCAAGCCCCTTGGCTACCTGGCTATAAGGGCAAACACATGTGCCACAGAACATAATAAAAAAAACTCTGAGAAATGTTAAAGTTGAGTCATTTGCATTTGGCCATTTTGCCAGGATGCAGAAAACTCCTGATCCACTCTTTGAATAATCTTAAGTGGTTCAGTTGATCAGATAAAATGAGACTGCATCTTCCTGCATCAATTTATGCGGGCTCATCACAGGGAACGGATGAAAATATAACTGGATTGTTGGATTTCAAGCTCATCCCAAACTTTAATTGTATTTCCTGGCGAGTGATAAATTCTGTTTGGCTCCTGGATGGCTATTTCTTCCCCAGACACTGGAATGGACAGTTTCTTGGTGAATTTCAGCTTTTAGTAATATAGCAGTAGGCAACATTATTTACTCTCTTGCAAATTGACAGTGATTTTTACAGGTTGCTAGGCTGAAGTTGCCTTGGATTGCTCCCCCAGATGAGAATACTGAAACAATCTATAGACTATGTTGATCTTGCAAATAATACGTTCTACATGTACCTGTACATGTAAGTTATGTTTCCTGCTTAGAATTGCCAGAATTGAATTAGAATCAGCATTGCTTAGAAATCCTCTCTGATTGCATGGATGGCCCGATCGCATCACATTAGCATACGTGTATTTTCCAAATTGGCACTCTGCAGGCACTTAGCCAGGGTTGGTTTTCCTGTCGCAAAATGGAATTTTTGTCTCTTCAGTCAAATTACAAAATGAAGCCAGGAAAACACTGGCAAGATAATAGTTTCACCATTTTTCTTTTACATTTATGGTCTGTTTTGACCATCTCAATTTTACATTTACATGTATAATCCACTGACTGTCCCAATAATTTTTGTGTTGCCTTCAACTCAAGATGCTGAAGGATTCACTTGGCATTATTGCTACATGATTTTGCTGAACTTGATGTGTTATGTGACAGCATATTCATCGCATTCTGAATTAGCTGTTTGTAATTTGCTCAGGTTCGATAAACTCTCACCCCCTTAGGGTGTCTAAAACTCTTATTCAAATTGGAGGATTGGGGAACTGGCATCAATTGGAAATGCATTTAATGCATGGACGCTTTACACAAGTACCGTTACATGTATCAACTTACAACATCCAATGAGTCAACTGTCCAGCCTTTTCCACTGTTTTTTGTTTGTTGGGTCGTTTGTTTATTTGTTCATTTTTCAAGACTTCATTTTTCAGACTTCACTTCTTTAAAAGAGGAGAGATTAAATGTTCCCCCCTAGTGTATTTTTAGGATATTTTATTTCATTTCCTCCAGTAGTAGGATTTGTCGGTTTTCAAATGATGGAGCAGCTGTCCTATGATGCTCTATGTGGTTTCTACCCTCTACAGAAATGTACATGTACATGTACCTTTGGGAGTCTTATTGCTTTGGTTCCTGAATGAATTTACTGGTAGTGGAAATGGCTGAGATTTAAACTTGATAGATTGTCCCCAGCCCCTTCAGGTACAGTTACAGTTACCTGATTATGTAGAATCTTGTTGAATTGAGTATGGTTCGGGGTACAAGACAAGTCTGTGGATCTATAGTAAAGATTGCGGTAACACCGTGTATTTATCTCTTCTTTGAGTATGTGTGGTTCTGAGAAGAACCGGGTAATAACTCGACGTTTCGAACAGTGTACTCTGTCCGTCTTATAAGTCTGTGGAGTTGTACCTGAGAAGTGGCAAAAGGAGTTAGTCTTGGTTTTGGTATTTGTCTGTTTTGTTGTAGGTTTTTATGGATTTTTAAAAAATTATATTGTCTACAGTACGTGTATGTGGCTGGACACACCCTACATGCACAGTTCACTCAGTGAGAATGCAGAAAGTACTGAAATACCTGTATAAGGGTACTTTTCAACACCATTTGTGTATCTTATAGAACCAACTATCTGAGAAAGGTGCCTTGTGGTCGAAACATTTCAGTAATCCTGTCCTGTCCAAAACAAACAAATTTACTGTGTTTTATTTCTGCTACGTTATTTGCAGGTCTCCTGTACATACTCTTTAAGCACATGGTGGACCGCTACAACATCTACTTTGCCTACAAGTCATCGCGCATTGATAAGGACATCCACAACACGGCTATCAACTTTGTGGTCGTTGCTGGCATGCTGCTGCAGCTGTCTGTCTTGTTCTTCTCAGTGCTCAGGCTAGGTAAGTTCAAAGGTCAAGGAAAGCAATTCTGGCCATTTGACAAAGTGATAAAAATTTTTCGGTATGGTTAACTTCTTAAATCTTTTGGGAATTGTCTTGTGCAAGTGCACATATATCATTAGAGGGTGAAATTTAGATACAAAAGTGTTCACACATCCTTCAGCTCTTCTTCCATTGTTCAGCAAGACTGCATGAGCTGTCATGTGTTGTGTTATCCACTTTGTACTGAAAAGCAGGGTACTGGCGGGAAAAAGGCCCCTCCCCCTGTAATTTCACCTTTGTGTTTAAATAACATTCACAATTTCGCTGATGTCCATGCGTGGTTGATTATTCACTCACATTCAACGACTAAACACACATGCTTGTTTGGGGACGAGCAAGAGATGATGAGATGGAGTCGTGGTAATGATGTGCCACTTCCCATGTGCAAAAGTACACCTGTGTATTACTGGAAATGTTGAAATGTACAGTAAGTACAAAAAGTGCCAGCCGTTACATTCACAGTGCTGGATTTTGGAGGTACATGAGGCAGAATTGCCTTTGGGCTGAAGGGTTAAGATAGATCAGGGAAGTGACAAGACTCTACATGTACATGTGCTGTGCTAAGCCCATGCATATCACGAGTGTGGGAATCTCACAATGGCTTGTTGTTTCTGAGATGTGCGTCTGTTTTAAGATGTGATCCCCCAAAAAATTGAAAGGCAGCTTTGGTTTTCAGGAAAACTGGCAGCATTTTGGTCGGTATGTTGATGTTGATCCGATGATGTGTGCCGAGTCATTATACAGTACTTCAAATCTGAATTCTACATGTTGCATTTTAGAAACCATTCTCTTTATCTACAATTTGTATGGTCAGCCAAAGTTTGCAGAAAAATTACGCTTTGGTTGATTCTTTATTTTACCTCAATTTCATTTAAAATGTACATTTGTCTCATTAGTTATAAAGAGGGTTATATTTTCACTCATTCTTAGCAGGTGTTTTGATAGCTGCGTTAGATTTTGAACACTTTGTCAGTTATTCCTTTACGTTTGCACTGATGGCCAGCCATAGATTTAGCAGCCACTTGTAGGAAAAACATAAACTGTGACGTTAAAAACCCCAGACCCTATTCACCTTATCGTAACTGTGCAAGAAGTATACTACTTCAGTAGATGTTTTGTGATTTGCCATAATATCGTTTCAGTTGCTGCTCTAAGGTATCACCCGAGGCATGCATTATGCAGTGCAAACAGGGCTTAAAACTCAGTTCTCATTGTGAAATTTTATAGAATACAAATCTTTCAAACCGTAAAATGAGTTGGCTTCTTTGATGTACATGCATTTCATTTTTAATGGGTGAGAAATCCTTTACTCTCTCTGTCCGGAGGGTGTACATGTAGTTGATATAAACTTTTTGATAATCACTTTAATCCCTTTTTTTCCTCACTTGGGTTCAAATCTATGGGTACCTGTACATGTAGATTTTTCATGGTAGGGGAAATATTCAAACAGCACCTAGCCCTTTATTTTTATGTATTTCTACAGAGCAGCCCTAGATGAGTCCTAAATGTTTTTTTCCTTTTCTTTTTTCACATTTAGCATTGCAGCGTGCATGACATGTACATCACTGTGTGTCCCCATCCATTTGAAATATATAGGTCATTATGCACTTAATGTGGTACTAGTTCATGAATGTACCGTTGGTGGTGGATGAAGAATGCTGATATGTTTTTCTTACCTTTTCATACACCTGTTGTTGAACCTCTGCGTTATTCTGGTCGAATTTTTTTTTCCACACCTACAGTACATAAACTGAGAAATATGGTGTGGTACACCTCTTAAGATGTTTTGTGTTGCTGTGTAATGTAGTTCAAAACACTCGTGTTGAAAACGAACAAAGATAAGAAATTATTGTTGTCCACTCCCATAGAAACCTCCATTGTATTGGTTGTACAACTGCCAAATGTTCTTCCTAGGAAACCCGTGATACTGCTTAAGAGCTATTTAATAATATTTGACATGTTCATGAGTTGTTTGGTTCACTTGTCATGGCTGAACCATCAAAACATGCGGCCATGACTTAGCAAACTCGCCAAGTTATCTTCGGTCTTTGAGAATAGCAGTGGTCCAAAGTAATCTCCCATATTCCAACCTCCCCTCCCTCCCTCCGCGAGGCATGCAAGCTGATTTTGAGGGCTCATGAATGTGAGGAAAATGTCAGGCAGAGCCCGCGGGACTCGCCATCTAATCAAATACTAGCTTCCAGAGTGCTCCGAGTTGATCGCATCATCTTGTGACTTGAAAAAAATCGAGTCATTTCATTTTTTGGGGGGGGGAGGAGGATCGGAGGATGAGCCATTACCTGTGGCACTGACCAGGTGTGCTCTGTGTCCGTGCAACAAATCAAATAATTTCATTAGCGATTGACTGGCAGACAGCAAAACCAGTCTAGACAGACAAACGGACGCATGAAAAACAAACACTGCCTGCAGGCTAGGTTTACCATTAATGTCTGGATGTAGTCTGGATCCTGCGTTCAATCTCACATTTTCAGAGGCTCTGGAGGCTTTGTTGTATATTGTGGCTTTGCACTGATTAAAGAGGGTCAGACTTGGTTACATGTACACATTAGAATACCCTGCCCAAAGGCTCCCAAAAGTTACCAGATATTAAGATTTTAGTTTCTAGATCTGGTTCATTCTGTAAATTAGGGGTCTAATTTTTATGTCCCTGTCACATCTGACATGTGATTTTGTAAGTTTAGAACACGTTCTCTAACTTCCAAGAGTGATGCGTTAATGCAAATTACATGTAGATGTACCTGCCAAACAAATAGAAATGGTTTAAATCCATTTCAGTGATATTTCCATGTCAAATTGCACAGGTCAGGTGTAACAGGGACACAAAATGTCACACTTTTGGACCCTGAATTTACAGAGTAACCCATTTACCTTCACACCGTCAAGTGAATGACAGCACAACAAGCCATCATAAAAAGGCATTTATACCCCCCCCCCAAATGTAATGGCATTTCTGCTCTTTGTAATGCACTGCTCATGCCCCTGTATGGATAAGTGGTCTCAGGATGATGTATTAAGTGGGCTGTAATGTTCTAGGGCCATTTATTTCACCTCATCAGACAGTCTTTATGGAACATGCGCATCGTTTTTAGCCTGACTAGAACATTACGAGTGTGATGTGTTAAAAGCTTGTAAATGGATATTGTTCAGGGCTCAGGTTATAGGAGAGGTGTCTGAAACATTCAGCCTTGAGGAAATTCATGTGGAGCACCTGCTGCACCACTCTGAAGTTGCTGGATTTGAGGAGATTTCCTGAATACGTGATGACGTTGTGATTTAATCAATTCAGCCAATGTGTTCAGATGCAAATAGATTGGTTTGTAATTTTATTTTAAAGTACAGTGAAACAGGTTTAGGGGGATCTTGTGAACGTACTTTTAACAAATTCTTTAAGAGTTTGGAGTTGCAATGAGTCAGGATATACCTTGCACTAACTTTCCCAGTCAACCATTAAGTGGAGAGTTACAAAATTAAGATAAGCATCAGTAAAAAAAATTGCAAAATTTATGGATTTGGAATAAGTTCCTCTCATTCATCTGACCTTGTTTATATTTTTCTTTTCAAAATGCAGCATTGAGCAGTGCTGCCGCTGAGCCTATTACAAGTCCCTGCAAGTTCATTACGAGATGTTCAAGCTATTCAAATGAACTGTGAGAAAAAGCATTCCTTTGTCACTGTTTGCATACAAGTAAAATGAAGGAGCAGATTTTAGCCTCATGTCCTGATTGAGATGCGTTCGCGATCTGAGCCTTGTTCCTCGCAGGCGTTCCTTAAATTTTGATGCAATCCATCAAGCATACAGTAGAAAGTCTGGCAAATTCTACAAAATCCCCTGGAAAGCAATGTCACTTGATCACTTTACCGACCAGCAAGGTGGTCATGTTAGATACCATTAGAATTACACATAGGGTCACAGACCATGTGGTTTTTGGTTACATAAACGGTATCCCGCATTTGTTTAACCAGATTCTGAACAGATTAATACATGTACATGTATATGACTCAGATAAAGAATCTTGCCATTATGAAAGTTGCTATGGAAAAAGAAATGGTGGAAGTTCCTGGGTAGCGGCAGGAGGGACTTCTTGTAGATACCAGCCACATCTTTGCCACATCCACTTCATTAGACACAGTCTGAAGAAAGGCCAGTATGTTATTGCCCTTGTTGGTCTGTGATGCGGGGTGCAAGAGTGTGCATTCTACATGTTGAACGTGACACCAAAGGGTAGATTTGAGTGACGAAGGTAATCAACCATAGTTCGGCCAGTGTTGCCCTGACGACAGATGGTGTAGACCATCTAGTCGACCGTGTGCATCGTGAACAAGTAGTGGGCCATCACTTGAACTTTAGTTCATGCCCATTCGCTTCAAGTTTATAAGATCACTTCCTGCATGCTTACGAATGATCTTGTCACAGGTTTAGTGGTAATAAATAAATGATTTTGGATTCAATGCCCTGAACAGACCGCTACCACTTGTTTTACATACGAAGTGTGGACATTCCTTTGTTCTCCTGTGGTTAAGGTAAATGCTCCTTTTCTCCCACTAGGATAACTCCTTCGTGCTGGATTTTTGATGATGATTTTCTGGACTGTTCCTCTTCATTTTGCCACGGATAACCTTGACCCCAAAATGGCTCTGAAACTGTCTTTCAGAGAGGGGAAACATTGTGTGGACGTGTGCAAGTCCACACAACGCCATCGTACCCTGCATTATTTGGACTTCTTTTGTGCAGAGGTCCACACTATGTATGACACGCCTGCACAAGCAATCACACGCTGATTAATTGTGCAAAATGAATTCCAAGTCACAGAACATGCTATGATGTTTCCAAACTCTTTACAATACCTGTTGTTTCAACTTACCATGGTATCCTGTGGCTAAGCCACCCTGTTTTAGCATTGCATTGTGGGATACATCTGCAAGTAATCGGCTCAATG